ATATTTTAAATATCTTGGCCGACTTATTACGAATCTTTGAATTTTAAAGCAAAATAACCATAAAGATTTTTTTTTTTTTTTTCAGTTTTACTTTTAATACAAATGCTTGAACAATACGCCCAAGGAAGTAATTTGGGCTGCATTAAATCTCCTCATAATTACTTTTGGTAATTAATTGGCCACACTAAACACTGCTAATTTTAATAAATACTCAGTGAGTCGGATGTTTTCCTTTTCCAGCTATTTCCATTTTATTCCAAACACATGTACTGTAAATTGAGTTGATATATAGGCCAACATACATTAAGCTTAAGTTTATGTGTAAGTTTAAGTTTATTTGCATATTTAGATATTAAGAACAGAGAAGACTAGAAAATAATAAAAACAGTTTACATGTGCAGGTGAGGGTGAAACCCACAAAGGGTTTTTTTGTGGTACCTCACATGAAGGGAAGAATAAAATATGCATAGATTTGAAAATACAACATCATGCAAAGTAATATTTTGTCTACAATACTAAACCAATACTGATAACATACTTACAAACACTTATTTACAGAGATATCGTGCCATAATCTGGATGAAAACATGCAGTAGCATTTGTTTCTCAAGCTCAAATCCCTGCTTTATTAACATGTTCTCTCAAAAGAAAGTACAAAAGTACACCTCTACATTTATAATAATAATAATGTCAAAGATGCAAAGTTAAGTTTTTTATGTGTTTACATGTGGGAAAAGAATGCACACAAAAACAAATCATAAAAAACAAAGGGGGTTGATTTAGAGATCCTGCAATGATGATTTGCAATATATAAAGTCGTTCAAATTTACCTTTCAGAACTGCAACATTACAGTGATGCGCACGTAAATGCATCACTAATTATAATCCAGTAATATATGGGATTTATAAATGCATAATGAATACTTTTTAATGCAAATGCTTGTGTACTTTTTAAGAGGTTAAATGCTGGACCTACTTGTAGTTTACACTATTTTTTCACTAGTATTGCTACTTTTACTCAAATACAAAATAATGCAAATTAATATTTCTCTGTAGCATCATTAAGATATTAAAATATTTAAGTCTTGCTGCAGAGACTGTTTCTTAAATGGCTCTGTAAAGTCCCAGAGATTGCTTCTACTGTTGGCTGCAGTCCCCGTTATGTTTACACTGTTGTCCCTCCATCATGTTTGACATTTGAACGCCTCTTGTATGTGGCTGTGTCCCTTGTCACGTTGAAGGCCACTGACCTGCTACTTTAATGTTACTAAAACTGAAAAGAAGCTATGAAACAGAAATAAAATGTCCAACAGTTACAATGCAGTTAAAGTGAGGGGTTGTGGGGTTTTTTTTTCTGGGTCCAGTAAAGCATTAAATTAGCCATTATGGGACTGAGGCAAAGATCATCATTGTCCGTGTGGATAGGGAAAATACAATTTAGACGACGTCTGGGAGGAAAACACGTCCAGCTACAGCACAACTAGCTCGCTACCAAGATGTTCTGTGTACCCGGAGACACCTTAACCTGTCCCGAGTGCCTTTCATTGTTTGTTACCGGGGGAAGAAACGCAAAGAGAGCCTACCGTCCTACAGCTCACTCCCTCTGCAAAGACGCTTCGCCTCCATGTCTTCGAGCCTGGCCTCCTCCGTCGCCTTTCCCCCGGCAGTGATAGCACCAGGAGGGCTAACATGAAGGAAGGCCGGATCCAGGACTTGAACTAACTCTTGAGATAAACACCGAGACTTTGACAGCATCTAAATATGAAGCACGAACGCCGGCATAATTCAGCACACTGTATTTGTGTGTTGTTCAGCGGAACGCCCTCCTGCTGGAGAGAACAAATAAGACCCGCATCTGCTGGAGCGTTCACGGGACGTCGGAAATACCGCAGTTCTCTCTATCGGCTCCGTTAGTCAAGGAATTTAACCTAAATTGCTCTTAATGAACGTAATAATATTATGTACGTACAGCAGTGGTTGAATAGAAGCACATTTACTCAAATATTTCACTTTACTACAATTTTGACACACTGGTACTTGACTATTTCCATTTGATAGTACTTTAGCCTATTGTACATTTCCCTCCAATACATTTATTTGATGCTTGTGGTTATTACATGGGTGCAGATCCCGGGGGGGATGGGGGGGACATGCCCCCCCCCCCCAAATTCTGAAAAACACAAATTGTCCCCCCCAATTCTAAATAGCCTAAATGATTGAAATTGAACAAATGTATACAGTAGTCCTATATACTGGGAGAAAGGGAAGATGATGAGGAGAAATGGGAATCAGTGAGAGGCGAGAGATGAGAACGTGAGTGGACATAACATGCCTGAGACCCTGAAACTAGAAGTAGCATTAACTAACAAAAACAAAACAGTGAAAAGGAGGGTGATGGCTGGTTCCATGTACTACTGGCTGTTTAAGAGAAATAAACAGTAAAGGTAAGCATATGATTCTCTTTGTAGTGCTTTTTGAATGACTTGGTGATGGTGATGAGTCTCTATGAAATCGTGAAATATGCTGGCAATCTCAAGCGCTCTGTGGGCATGATTTGTACACATGCAATTAAAAAAAATCACAACTGATTGTGTCCCCCCCAAACTTGTCATCAGATCTGCACCCATGGGTTATTAGTTACATTGTAGGCTACTTAAAACATATGATTTACCTGAATTTAAATGATATGATGAAGTACTATATTAGCCTATAAATCTACTCAGTAGAACATCGAGTAGCCTACCTGCAACTGGCTTCACACTGAAGAACTACAACATTAAAATCTTCTTACATGTATTCATTTACAATAGAAATAGAAAAATATAATATTCTATAATAATGAAGGAGCTATTCCGCGAATTGAGTACTTAACTTTCGATACTCTGAGTATATTTTACTGATAATATTTCTGTACTTTTACTTAAGTAACATGTTGAATTTGGGACTTTTACTTGCAATGGATATTTTTACATATAGTATTTCTAATTTTGCTCAAATAAAGGAGTACTTCTTCCACCACTACGAAAGAAGTAGATGAAAAATATGAGCATATAAATATATATATTTTAAGAAAAGCATGCAAACGTTGCATAATGTGTTGTTGTGTACTTTCCTGTCATTATATTTATTTGTTTCTGTTGTATTTTTGTGCACATCCTGTTATCTGCTTTTATTCAATATGGACCTTTCTCTGAGTCCTTCTTCTTCTTCTTCTTCTCATTATTATTATTATTATTATTATTATTATCCATCCATCCATCCATCCATTTTCTAACCGTTTATCCTCTTGAGGGTCGTGGGGACCTGTAGCCTATCCCAGCTGATATTGGGCGAGAGGCAGGGTACACCCTGGACAGGTCACCAGACTATCGCAGGGCTGATACATAGAGACAGACAACCATTCACACTCACATTCACACCTACAGACAATTTAGAGTCACCAATTAACCTGCATGTCTTTGGACTGTGGGAGGAAGCTGGAGTACCTGGAGAAAACCCATGCTGACACGGGGAGAACATGTAGACTCCGCTAACCACTGCACCACCGTGCCGTACATGCACAGTGTTATTTTAAACTGTAATTGTATAATTTGTAGATATGTGGACATTGCATTGATGTTTCCGGAGTCCCGTACAATATAATATATATTGTGAAAGTCCGGATGTTTTGGGAAGGTACACAACTCTGGGTACCACTTTCTAATAAATACTTTTGGCAGTAGTGGAGGAAGTACTAAGACCTTTAACTTCAGTAAAATTGACAATACCACAGTGTAAAAATATTTTGTTACATGTAAAGGTCCTACATTACCATTTCAGAATAATGAGTGTAATATTATTGGATTATAAATAGTGATGCATTCATGTGCACACCACTTTAATGTTGCAGCTGCTAAAGATGTGTCTTATTCGAATTATTTTATGCACTGCTGGCTATCTTACAGCATCTCATATATCATGTATTAGTTGATTGTATATTACAACAATAATTTGAATCTGCAAAGTAATTAGTTATTAAAGTTAATACGCATAAAATGGAAATACTCAAGCAAAGTACAAATACCTCAAAATTGTATTAATGACCAGAATTAATGTACTTAGTTACATACAAACCACAGACTTTTGGTTATTACATCTTCATAATGGGTAATAAAATCAACGTTATACTTATACTCCTCCACATATTAAAAAACATGTACTTAAGCTGAGACAAATGAGACATAATGTGTGTGTTGTTACAACATGGCAAGAATGAATTTTCTGACAGTGCTTCTCAGTTGTGAGTCATCATGAACCGCAAGTGCACAGCATTTATTTCCAACCAAACACAGCAGGAGCTCACTGAGTAACACAAACACTGGGATACACAGGAGGGAGCAGAGACATGAGCTGCTGTGGTGTTTGTTTGGAATAAAAAGACGGTTATCGATCACTCCCGAAACCCAATCTACTGATGCTGTAATGAGGTTGCTGAGATCTAGCGTTGAGGCACCAGAGTGTGATAGCTGTGACCACAACTGAAGTATGTCATTTGATAAAAGCCTAAAATTAAAGTTGTTGTATGTGCTTCCTCATGCTGCTGATGCAACTTTTTCTCGTATAAAAAAATCTACCTTTTACATAGTCTATTTTGTTTTTTAATCTACCCAAATTTGTGAATCCACCAGTCACATTTATTCCAATTTTCACCACTTGGTTATGAAGTTTACGAGCAGCACCTGAAGGCAGCAGCAGTCAGCGGCACTTGGACCAGGGGGGCGGGTCCTCCTGTCAGCAGCCTGTCTGTGAGAGGAGGTTGGCTGCATCAGGGGGAAGCAGGAGCAGGCATGTGAAGAAATTAATGTTTTTATATTAAATATTTACAACTGAATCCTTCTGTGCGACTGCATGGAGTCGAGTGTAACACAACAAAAATTTAAGGTTGCATTTGATGTCCAGTAGGGAACAGAAGAGCTTAACAAGCAGCTGAGAAACATATTGCCTTACAATGTCGTTATGACAAACATCCAGCAAACATGGATCAGCCTGATATAACTTCAATATTCTTTACAATCAACCTCTACAAGGTTGGTAATACAAATCTTATTAGTTATCAATACCTAATTGCCTTGTTAGGAGTCTGTAGATTATAGACATCTATAATCTATGTAAGGAGAACCTTGAAATAGGCTGCACAGTTGCATAGAGGAAGTGTGGTCACTGGTCACTGTGGCTTTATCTGAGAATGATGTTGCAACAGTTTTAGCACGTTAACACTTAAAGAAACAGGCTCACTCCACATCTAACCTGTTAAAGCTGTTCTCCCTCAGTGCTTAGACTCTTTCCATGTGAGGACACTGCACAAAAACAATACATAATAAATGCCAGTGTCCATGTAATGCACTAACTGCAGTCACCCCTCCCAGCTACATACTGATCATTCTCTCTCTCTGCACTTCCTCTTCAGCGCAGCAGTCGGCTTGAAAAACACGTAGCATGTAAAAGCAAAAGTGAAAGTGTTGCACTGACTGGGAGGGACCATCATTATCTTCCTGTCAAGCGTGAGAAAGCAATGCAAGAGACTTTCCCAACAAATTATCAATCTATTCCGTAAGTACGCGTCTTTAAAGGTTTTAAATAACCCTTGCGTGGCTGTGAACTGCTGACCATGACTCGGAATAGCTTTGCAGGCTATAGACTTCTAAGGTAACGTTGGTTGTGTCTGGAGCAAGCTTGTGCAGAGCAGCTGTGACAAGAGTTTGTGACGCACATTTGCTGATCCTTGCTTAACTTTATTGTATTTTTTTGAAGTGTGTTGACTAAAAGTTTCCTTATCTCCTCCTCAGAGACATGACCCAGACAGAGACGACTGGTGAGAAAACAAGTTTACTGTTTTTATAATTTGTGTATGTGGTGCTCATGAGTGAAATGCAGCTAAGTACCTTGTGGCCTACTTTACTTGAGTATTTAATTTTTTGCATCTTTATACTGGTACCCCACTTTATGTTAGAGGCTTTTTATTTTACTACATTTGTCTGACAGCTTTAGTCTCTCTCTCTCTCTCTCACACACACACACACACATGCACACACCATTTTGCCACATCCCCTTTAAAAACTCATGACTCATGTTGACATAGGGAGGCCTTATCATTCTAGAGACAGGTGTTGTGAGGTTGTTTATGAGTGTGAATACATTGCAATGCGTCCAACTTTAAGTTTGAGTTAAGCATTTTGGACATCACCATGTTGATGTTATGGACGCCAGAAGTGACTGTATTTGGATGACAGGGTGGAGCTCTGGAGGAGTGAGTGGTGGATCTGACTGAGAATCCAAGGTCACTATCAGCAGACAGTCTGTCGATCAAAATGGCCCACCGTTAACTTTAATTCTTAATAAAATGTAAATTAGTGAGTTATTGTTAAAAATGCATACAGTTGTCAAGAATGTTGAAATTAACTATAGAGACTAAAACTATTTTCACCAGGCTGTAAACAACTGCAGATTTTGGCGCTTCGGCACAGCGTTGCCAACTTAGTAGTCTGAGTGGGCGGAAGTTCGCCGCATAGATCAGCCTCTCATTGGGCGGAACGAGCCACCCGCTGAAGTCCCGCCCTACCACCTCCGGTAGCAGTTTTCAACACGTCCTTAACTAACTTTTGCGGTGTTTGATCTTGCGGGGATGTAGCCATTTTTCTGCCATGGTTCGAGTCCTGTAGGAGATATTTTTGTGGACGTGTTACACCAAAACCTGATTCCCCCAGGCAATATTTTTGCAAGCGCACCATTGCTGTGGCACCGCCAAGAACGATTGTGATTGGTTGAAAAAAATAAAAAAAAGCCGGGGCGTTTTTTCTCCAATCTTAAAGTGAGAGGCGGCCCAGCCAGACCTTTCTTTTCTTGAGAAAGGTCTGGTGAGCGAGACTACTAACTTAGCGACTTTGTAGCTATATTTAGCAACTTTTCAGACCCCTCTAGCGACTCTTTTTCAAAAAAGCGAGTAGCGACAAATCTAGCGACTTTTTCTGATGTTATTGGAGACTTTTGGAGACTCTGACGTGAAAGCAAGTATCGTTCTTATTCTTCTCAACGAGCAGCGGATGCTGCCGTGGGCTCCTCCCCCATCCCAAAGCACTCACAGGCGGCCAAATCCTCCCTCCCAGCTGCAGTCAGAGCAGGAGATGTTAACCCCTCCACGTCCAGATTGCAAGTGAATCGTGCATGCGCGGGACCGCCGCTGGCTGATCTATCGCTCTGATCCCGACCTGGCTTACAGTCAGGGCGGGATGTAAATGTAAAATTTTCTTTGTCTAATATAAATAACTGAAAGAAGGTTCATTTGTAGTTCTAAACATATTCAGGGTGTTTTTTACTCAGTTTTTGTCTCTCCCACGACGTTATTCCTCTCTCCTACAGCATCCATTACAATTACATGTATATGGACAATAATGCAAATTAGGCGATGACATCATTTAGCGACTTCGAGCTTCGACTTAGGACAGCCAATAGCTACTTTTCTTACTGAGGAGTTGGCAACAGTGCTTTGGTGTTAGCTTCATTTTTGAGCCCCTGAAGTTGCCACTTGATGCGCTTCCATGATCGCAGCTATCGAATTAGTTTCAAAAAGAACAGAGTAAAGTGGGATTTATAATTGTGCAGAAGACCATACGCTGTAGCCTACGCACGTGGCCTACGCCGTTGTGAGCATTTATACTTGTGCAGTGGTGTGTCTGTGTCACACTGCAGTTACACCTCCAAAATGCTAGTTGGCGGAGGAGGTTTCTGTGAAGTGCTGTAAAGTTTAGTTGATTAAAAACACACATTAAACATGGCTTAATAGAGACAATTTCAAACACAAGCACACAAATTAGCTTCACTATAACTCGCAGCATTCACAGACAAAGCAGTTGTCTTTATCTGGACACATTTTCCCCACAAATACAACATGCTAATGTTATTAGCATAAGCCTATGGCATTTTACATTGTATAAATTAGCCTAGCAACTAACAATCTTTTCTTCTTACATAAATCCAGAGAGAAGAGCAACATTTAACAAAAGTAACGGCACACAATTTGGCTCCATTACAACTCACAAGGTTCACTGACAAAACAACTGTCTTATACTAAACACATTTTCCAAACAAATATATCATGCTAACATTAATAGCACAAGCCTATGACATTTTACATTGTATGAATTAGCCTAGCAACTAGCGATCTTTTCCTCTTCTCATATAAATCCAGGGACAACAGCAACATTTAACAAAGGTAACGGCACACAATTTGGCTCCATTACAACTCACAAGATTCACTGACAAAACAACTGTCTTATACTAAACACGTTTTCCAAACAAATACAACATGCTAACATTATTAGCACAAGCCTATGGCATTTTACATTGTATAAATTAGCCTAGCAACTAGCAATCTTTTCCTCTTCTTATATAAATCCAGGGACAACAGTAACATTTAACAAAGGTAACAGCACACAATTTGGCTCCATTACAGCTTACAAGGTTCACTGACAAAACAACTGTCTTATACTAAACACATTTTCTAAACAAATACAACATGCTAACGTTATTAGCACAAGTCTGGCATTTTACATTGTATAAATTGGGTCCATGTCATTGGTTCGACAGCCCATTGGTTCGACATCCCATTAGTCCGACTGTCCGCGGTGCTGAACGGCTCGCGGCGGGCGTATGGTGCACCGCGACCGGCGTGAGGCGGAGCAGGCTCACGGCTTATGTGTTTGTCACGTTCTTTTTCATTTTAACCCACACCATGATCTTTTCCTGACCCTAACCAAGTGGTTTTTGTGCCTAAACCTAACCAGACATTAACCACAGGGCATCATGATGATTTCGGAACGGACTTCGGAACAATGAGTTTAATATGGTCAGAACAATGGGATGTCGAACCAATGGGCAGTTCCCTATAAATTAGCCTAGCTTCAGTTTAAGGCATAAATATGCAAATAACTCACTTTCTTGACAGTGCCCAGGATCAGCAGATGAATTTAATACTTCTTTAGCTTTTGTTTTCATCCTGATTGACAGTTTTCATACCAGCCTTAAAAAATCAAACTAAATCAAACAGGCGAACACCCCGGAGTTCATTTTAATCTAGTCAACAAGTTAGAAGAGAAATCACTCCGAGGTTTAAGATCTTTTTTGCTAAGACTGTCTGACATGATGGTGCTATGGCTTTTCAAAACTATGTTACAGCTAATTATAAGATCTTACCTTGGGAAAATGGTTCATGAATGAACTTTATTGTATTTATTCTGCACCCCTCTCCCTTCACCCTACATCTGTTATGTTTTGTTTGATGTTGTATTTGTGTATAGTTGTTGTTGTGTTATTGCTTAACAGTATGTAGGCTATATGTAGTATGTCAGTGTGCTGTCCTCATATCATGTGTCATTTCAAAACTATAAGAAAAAAACTATGTTACAGCTAAATATTGATGTAAAAAATTTTCTTTGTCTTCAGTGATGAGGAAAAAGTTCTTTGTCCATTTGGCTGGAAAAACTAATAATGCTCACCAAGAGCTTGTTGAAAGCCTTAAAAGCGCTGGCCAAGTTGAAGTGTCCATTCTTGAAGACAGTGACTACCTTCTGGTTTTCTGTCCCATCGCTTCACGAGTTGGAACGGACATCAGCGAGGCCTTGGAGAACATGCCAGGTGGGGAATGCCTTCAGGCATTCATTGAGCAGTTTCACCTTGATGAGTCAATCAGTTGAGAAGTTCCACATTTTACAATAAAAAAAAATCTTGTTACATCTGTGCTTACAGGTGGTAAAAATGCAATCCTGGTGGTGATGCATCACACCTTCAATCCTAACTATGTTGTAGCTCCAAGCAACAGACAGGTGACCAACCCGAAAGTCTTCCTCACTGTGGACTGTCTGTTCTACGAAGGCAAACTCCTGCAAAGTGACCTCAATGAAATAGCATTGCATGAAATCATGAAGTCTCTTGGAATTTGCTATTCACCGGTAAGCATTAGATTTACTGATCTAATAAAATCATGTTCACACACACAATCAGTGCAGAGTGAACTGATCAATCAATCAATCAATCAATCAATCAATCAATCAATCAATCAATCAATCAATCAATCAATTTTATTTATAAAGCCCAATATCACAAATGGGTGGCACGGTGGTATGGTGGTTAGCACTCTCGCCTCACAGCAAGAGGGTTGCCGGTTCGATCCCGGGCGTGGGAGCCCTTCTGTGCGGAGTTTGCATGTTCTCCCCGTGTCAGCGTGGGTTCTCTCCGGGCACTCCGGCTTCCTCCCACTGTCCAAAGACATGCTAATTGATAACTCTAAATTGTCCGTAGGTGTGAATGTGAGCGTAAATGGTTGTCTGTCTCTATGTGTCAGCCCTGTGATAGTCTGGCGACCTGCCTTTTGCCCGATGTCAGCTGGGATAGGCTCCAGCCCCCCCGCGACCCTCAAGAGGATGAAGCGGTTAGAAGATGAATGAATGAATATCACAAATAAAAATTTGCCTCAGAGGGCTTTACAGCATGCAACATCCCTCTGTCCTTTGGACCCTCACAGCCGATAAGGAAAAACCCCCCCCCCCCCCAAAAACCCCTATATATATGCAGTTTCATTATCACCAGTTATTATTACTCATATTATTTTGTGTTGCTTGTTTTTTTTTTCCAGCACTCCAGCTGGGGAGCATCCTTTGTCAAAAGTAAGTGTGACTGTAATTATTGACTTCTGACTCATGATCAGTCTATCTTTAAACTTCACTTACATAGGCAGAAGTACACTAAAACAGTTACTGCTCTGTGTAATCATCCTGTCCATACCGACTGTGAAATTCCTAGTCGAAAAATCATTCTAAAGTTAGTCATTTTAGGACAAAAAAGAAATATCCCTATTTGTATTTTCCTGATGAGCTGCAGTGGTTCCATAATGAATTGGCATTAATATTCTAGTATGTGAGCAAAATAATGTTGGGGTTGTTTGAGCTGTAGATGATACCAGATGACTCATTGCTTTGTCTTTCTTTATTTTAGTGTGGAACTGTTGGACATGGGCTGGAGTAGGTGCTGTTACGACGGTGGTAGTGGTGGTCGTTTTCACAGTCGTTATTGTTGAAATGATCAAGAAGTGAGAAGATCTATGACGGCTGTCATTAACATGCATGACATTCTTGGTTGCAGTGTTGTCACAAATAATTATTTGTGAAGGGACAAAATAAATATGCCATATAACGAATGTATAATTATCTGCAAAAACAGAAGGATGGTATTATTGCTATTGCTATTGTATAGTTGTGAAGGCTAATAGGCCTATATGTTTTTGGGGTTGAAGCTTTTGATCGCTAATATTCTATCTTAAGCACAATACAGATTAAAATGGTGGAAGGATACAGATCTGCACACACAGACATTAAGCAAGTGGCTGGATGTGAAAAGGGCCAAAAGGAAGAGATAAAGTGAGAAAAATAACATTGAAATTCCTTTCAAACTTCTAACTCAAACTTCCATACAATTGGACGTGTATTTGCAACCAGTGCTGGCAATAAAAAAGGCACACTTAGCTTCACTTTTCACAGGCGGCTACATCCACTTCTTTTACACAGTCTGTGATAGCAGAGTGGTTCAATCTTTTGCTTTAAATGAGCGGGAAACAAAATAATGCTTGCTGCTGCTTTGTGCTTATTTAAACATCAAATGGTGTGCCTTTGCTTCAGAAGGAATAAATGAAGGTCATTATATCAGATCTGTGTATCTTGTCTCAGTGCTAAACACGTGATGTATTCCTAGCTAAAAATGAAGTAAAGGTCTAATAAGAAAAAAAATAAATATCCAAGTTTCAGCACCATCTTTTGACTTTTGAGTTTTCTGAATTACCTCAGGACAATAACACCCCAGTGTGGAGAACAGCGGTGGCACGGTTATGATATGTGAATGCTTTTTGACAACAGAGACTGGGAGTCAAGTCGGGATCAAAGGGTGAATAGAGTCAAACAAGAATACTGAGTCAGTGAATATGAGCAAAAGACAGATTTCTTGGAGAGAGATCAGGGAGGCAATGTGACGACCACTGGGACCAGGTATAAACACTTATGCCTTTGGATATGGTTGGATAACATGTCATATGATATAGTCTGTACACAGAATACTGACACTTAAACTTTGTGTTTACTGTGTAATTTTACGATTATGTTGAAGATTGAACTTGGAGTATATTGCCTGCACTTCAGCCATTCAGATCCTCCCTCTTTCTGTCTCCACTTGATGACAGCTCTGCACTGGGCACAGGGGGTCTACAGAAGAGGGATTAGTTAACATGGAGGGGGGGGGACTGGGGTGGATGGGGTGTTAAGGTCACGCCTCTGGCCTAAAAAGGCGAGGCAGAATACCAGCAGCAGCGAGCCGCTCTAAGAATAACTCAGGGCCTGAGGCTCAGAAACATGGCGTGAATGTAACAGTAATCAGATTCAAAAGTTTCACTCAGACTAATCCATAAAAGGGAAACAAATATTGATTGATAGATTTGGATCTAAGAATTTTTTTTGCATGAAACCACTGTCCACACCGTCATCACGTGACCCCAGCACCAACATTGGCCGGTGGGATAAAGTTACCTTCAAGCTCTCTCTCCCAGTCTCTCTTCCCTCCTTCCCTTCCATCGCCCGTCAGTCCCTGTGGTTGATCTAAATCTGTCAGAGCCGGTAGAGGGTGGGGGCGGGTGGCTCTATCTACAACCATAGCCCCAACCAGGCAAAGGGCAAGACAGTGACCACCTTAACTTGGTCTCTGTCTGTCTCCCCAGCTTCATCCACTAGGACGGAAGCCAGCTCTCTGGATCACCTCGCAATCACTTGGAAAAGTTTTTGACTCCTGGAACCAAAAAGGGGGAAATGCAGATTTAAGTAATGAGACTGGAAAAAGAGGTGTAGTGTTACCAGTGGGCTCGGGTTTTCCACATATCCTCAGCACCAGCCGTGCACATGACGTTGCTGGATTGGAATTAAACACTGGGATTAAATCGTGCAAAGGAGTTGAGGATCTACCATAAATATTTCTTTTTCATGGCAACTTAATCTGCACAAAGGATTTATTATTGGAATTTTATTTTGAAACAATGACCGATATGGTTGAAGGTAAAGTATTGTCACATCAAGTTTTCAGTTTCAACACCTTATTCCATAAAGGAAGCCTTTCATAATGTATAGGTGACACTCTTCCAGGGCTGTTTTGTTTTGCACTCTGATGTTGTGCTGTCTGGTGTGTGTGTGTGTGTGTGTGTGTAGGGGAATTTCATGATTGGAAGTATCTAAAAATATGGCCCTATCATGTATCGGCTATTTGTAATGCAGCTTTAAGACCCCTGTGACATCTACAGTGCCGTATAGGATCAGAAAGCATCATCACTGGGCTTCTTGTTTCATGCAACCACATAAACTGATACTGTTGTTGGCTTTTTAACTGTTGTTTTGTGCAGTGGCAATGAAATGAGACAAATAAGGGGGCCTGGAAGCAGGAAGCAGCTGTTAAAACTCAAAAGCCTCTTTGTGTCTTTAGCTTGATTAAATGTATTCTCACAAGGTGGGCATGTGCAGACTGTGCTTGATTGACAGTCTCATGACTCTCCAGTTTGCTTCATGCACTTGTCAGTGTGCACCTATGACGGGTCCACTTCTTATGGAGGAGATTTTTGACTTGTTGGAAAGTCAGTTGGAAAATCATCATACTATTAACAGTAAATGGAGTTTGGTGACCTCAGCATAGCTCTGGCCACCTTTGACTTGACAAGAGAGCTAATCAACCATAGCTAACAATGTGTGTGTTCAGGCCCTTAATTACGATAATGGGATGATGATTATTGTCAAGCTAACACTATTTTCTTGAAAGTACAAATTACCCAGTGGCATAAGGTAGTAACAACAGGCCCTGGTGCATGCTAGTCAGTAGGTATAAAGTACAAACACACACACACACACACACACACACACACACACACACTAAAATCTAATTTAGGGAGCTTTGCTATGTTCTTGTCCGGCTCTTTTCTCTTTTGTCTTTTCTTACTGCAGCTTACCTATACTAGCAACTGTATATCGTATCATCTTGTCACATGATGAAATAGAGACGTGACACTGGACAACATCAATACACATATTATGAATATCTGTATGTGACAAAAATATTGGACAGAACAAGAAATTCCTTATTTAATTGAATCATTTTTTAAATATTTTAATTACAGTTTTTCTAGTTTATGCAGAATAAGCATATACAAGCATCTTTGCACATGACATCATACATTGGTGCTCTGTCCAGATGGAGGGCAGGCAATTGGAGGTGAAGACTACCAACAATGCATTAATGCCAACGATTTCTGCTGTTAACGCCTGTTCCACACAGTCAAATTGCAAAAAAACAAGGGCCACTTAAGCCCTGAAAATGGTAGTATGTAAAGGTCTGAAGAATATTTAAAAAAGTCACTGAGAAACAGCTGCAAATGAGAATAAAAAAACCCTGTATTCAGTATGGAGGAGCGGACTCATCTAATTTCAAAAGTAACGTAAATGGTAAAGCAGTGTTTTAAACATGACTCCATGTTTTTAGCCATGACCCAGATTTTTAACAGTATTTCAACAGACCTCTGGAAATGGTTGATCTAGTAGGTATAAATAATAGCTAAAGATAGCCAATGCTAGCCCGTAATGTTCTCAAACACAGCTACACTCAAGCACATTTACTCATCTGGCCAAAAACAAGGCAGGCATTGTTTCAGTCGTGGATCTAACCATACAAAAAATAGTTGTAGTCCACTAGGCTCTTCTTAAACTTTCATCGGCTCACGGTGTAACCTAAGTAATGCCATGAGGTCTGGAGGACGAGGTTATTTGTAAGGACTATCTTGTCCACACTGGGCAAATTGGTTAAGTTGTAGAAAAAAAATTACTTTTCCTAATTTTATTTCGATCATATCCAACCTGACTTGAATCTTTCTGATGACACTTGCTGCCTGCAGGTTCAGCCAGCTCTTTAATATAGACATTTTCCTCCATATTCAATTCATGCAATATATGGATGTATCACTTCCTGCCCTCCATCTGAATTTTGCGCGCCATAATAGTCACAAGATTGCAAACAATCTATTTGTTATAGATTGCTACTGACAATTTTACCCTGCCTAAAACATTGTTGGAGCCTTGGAGCTTGGAGAGTGTTCATGCCAAAAGCTATTAAATATAGTATCTTATGCAGTTTTTAATAAGTTTAGGAGTACTCATAAGAGTTATGACAGGTCAGTCAGGAGCTTTTGCTGTGGAAATGGTCCATAGTTGGGTAAGTGAGTTGAGGTCTGTGAGCCAGTGAACATATTTCTGTCAATGAAATGCAGAAAATCCAGTGGAATAACTAACATTTGCCCATTTACAGCTGTTTTGTCGATTAGGAAATTGCTGTTTTCCATAGATTACAAATAGTCTGTAGTATCATTTTTATATAAATTAGTCACCCTGTGATACCTTGAGTTTGTGAAGACAACTTTTTTTTCATGCATGCCTCAACAGCCAACGAAGAATCCAAAAACGGCAAATATTCTGAATTGGATCAAAAGGGGGCAAAGCAAAGCAAAACTATACCAAAACAGGCGTTTGCAAGGTCTCAGACAACTGGTGCAGTATAATCCAATTCTTATTTATGCAGTTGTATGCTCAGTACTGCTGGTCCATGTGTGAGACTAATCATGTGGAAGTGTTTTAAAGAGTAAAGTGTAGCGAAAATGCAAATCTTTGGAAAGAGCATAAGATTGGATAAATGAGACTTGGAATACACTGCTCTCACTGTTGTGAGAGTTTGTAAACTTCAATAAATATTCCAGTTCATCAAGAATGTGCACCATTTTTGAATTCTTTCATTCACTGTGGAGGCATGTGAGAAAAACAAAATCTTTTTCAAGAATTCAAGGTAACATGGAGTGAGTGATTTATATACAACTGGTCATTTTGTAGGTGAACGGTTATAACTGAGGATGTGATGTGTCCACTTCATGTAAATTATTTCCTCATACTCATTATTGCATTGTAAACTGTCTAAATAGACAGTCTGCAGTATCAACACAAACATCACAGCAGATGCACAACACTTTTGCTAGTCTGAGACATAGAAACTTAACCTGATTATTAGCTCCACCGTGCCCAACCAGCCGGATCGTAAAGGTCTCTGCTGCTGTTAGTTCAGCTCTGTGCACTTATTAAGGTAATGTTATGACTACACTCCCCTGTATTCTGACTGAACAGGCAGCCACTAGCTGCTAATGACTGCTCTGAGCTGAGCTGTCATGGATACCTAGTGAGAGTAACAACAAAAATGTCACCCACAGTGTAGAGACAGATCAGCCATAAAAGGAGGAATTGTACATGGATGGCTGCTCAAACCATTTAGAGGTGGGCTTAGAGAGTGGTGGTCAACACAGACATTAAAATGGAGTTATTGATGTTGTAATGCTTAGTCATTTCAGCCAAAACGTGTACACTGGATATAGTTTTTGACCTAATGGTGAAACCTGAGGAAAGGTCAAACCATGGTTTCAAGGTTACTGCGGTTTAATGCTTCTGCATCATTAAAAGAGGAATTGGAGAGTGCTTTTTGCCTTAACATGACAAAACCATTATAAAAACACCAACATCATATTTCTAATTCAATAATTTGAACTGATAAAACTAGATGAAAGGTCAAGAGGCCCCCTGATATCTTAAGGACTGAATATTCTATCCAAATCCAATTTCATGGAAATCTGATAGAAATATTTTGTGGTGAACCAAAGTCTTGGATGGACCAGCCAGTCAACATTTTTAGGTAAATTTTGTGGTTGTGGTCTGACAATTGATGCTAGTTTCCATGGACATGAGTGCAGAAATCCAAATTAAGCAGTTTTCATAAAAAGAAGCAGCAGGTTAGAGAAGTAAGTACTTTATAGGGTGACTGTACGAGGTCAAATCTATCCATAAAAGCCTGAAAGAGGAAGCAAAACGTTCTCAACAACAACTGAAACGTCCTGTGTGAGTAATTACCCTCCATTTACTCCTGTGAATCTACAGTTAGAAAACCATGGGCTGTGGTTATGCTGCTTGTGAAGTAGGCTACTGGTTAAAGTAGGAAGCCTCCAGTTTCAGTCACAGACCGGTGTCTTCCATTAAAACTGAATTTAAGTTTAGAGTGGCCTAGTTGTTATTGGTACAGGTTAAAAGTAATGTGGCTGTAATCTGAAAGATGTTTTGTATAGTTTGTGTGTTTTAGGAACTTTACAAGCTCTTCATAACAGTGCAGACTGGCTGCTAAACATCATATATTTAAATCTGTGTCCATATATGACCAATCAAGGCATATTGTAAGCCTGGTTGTCGAAATCCGACGCTTGGGCAGTGACTTGCTGCGTCAAAAATCAACGAAAAAAGGCACCCTTTAACATGTGCATGACACGCAGCTGGTTGCTGTTATACTTTAATGGTGCCTGGCGGCATCAGGGGGAGACGCAGTGGGACAAGGACAAAAGTTAAGGTGGTGAAAGTCCGACTGGGGCAGGTGGGAGTGGTGGTGGATGGGTCCAACAAACACCGACTTTCACCGATATCCCATAACATTCTAAAGCCAAACCCTGTTCTTTTTCCCTAAACCTAACCATGTGTTTTTGTTGCCTAAACCCAACCACGTGCGTGCATTGCATAAACCCAACAAAATGTGTTTGTTGTTGAAGGAGAAAAAAAAAAAGTCAATTTGCGGTGTTGTACCAACGTAGTGCTTTTATTTTGAAAGAGACTGTATCTAAATAGTAAATTTCCAGTGGAAATTTTGGAAGATGACAATGCACGTAACAGGCAGAACTTGACGCGGCGTCCCAGAATGTCAACAACCAACGCACCCACGGTACCGTGCACGTCGTGTGTGGACGTGGAAAGTCCATGACCAAATGTTGATATGTGACGAGGTTGGAGAATGTGTTAACATTGTTAATGGTTATTGTTAGCTTGGCTGTTTGTTAGTAAAAGAAAAACATCATATGTCATTTCAGTAGGCTACTCTATTTCAATATTGTTTATGAGTTTTGAGACAAGATGATGTCAGCTCATGACGGATTTCTTTAGGTCGTCTGCTCCAGGCATGCTACTGCAAGTGTTACATTACGTAGCCTACACTGCTACATGTAGCTACATGTTAACAAGCGAAACATGTGATCTTGGTTGCTGATGTTGTTGATTTTTTTTCTTGATTTCCTGCTGTGAAGATTTGGTTTAGAAGCTTTTATTAGTGGTTTTTCACAGTGGCAAGTGCAACTTCATCTACTCTGTTACAGTCATTCCCGTGGTTGCAGTACTGCTACATGTAGCTACATGCTAATGTCAGTGAAACGTGTGCATTTTTTGCTTTAGGATGGTATTCAAGTACTTTTTCCATTTCTGAAAGGGAGGACAAGCTACAACTGTATAACTTTAATTGTAGCTAATTTCAGATGTGATCAGAATAAAAGTTTTTGAGTTCAGAACGATCCAAAGCCTGAGATTTTCGCTCACAGGGATTACTTTTACATTAGTTTACTTCATTATTTGAAACTTTGGCCATGTTTATCATAAATTTTGTCAATGGACACGTGCAGCCTGTGCATACAGCTGATTATCAATTAGAAATATATCTTCCTCTGTATACCTTCACTGGAATCACCAGAAAAGAGACACAACTCAGATGTATTGAACAAAAATGGCTGACAATGAGTGGATTATTTAGAGGTGCATTCATTCCAAATATATGTATGCATTGTTTTCATGCTGTTATGAGAAATAATGATGTTTTATGTCTCATGTGACACAAATTATATAAAAACCCAACAATTCGTTTTTTTGTTTTTAAATATTTCAAACTCAGTGACATTAGTGTTGGTCAAAAATCTCACGGTACTGGTGACACAAGATGAATGTTTAAGAATCATTAAAATCCTCACGAGTATCTTTAACAAATTGAGCTGTGGTCAGTAGTTGTAAAACAGGCAGAGTGACTAACACCAGTGAGGCCATGCATTCAATTACCATAGTTATGTAATGCTAGTGTTTAAGGTGTCCAGTGCTCTTTTTACTTCCTTGTCCCACAGTAGCCACCTGGAGGCTTTATATACACGTTACTCATATGTTGAACTGACCTGTTGGAGTCAGAGAAATGAGGTTAGACGTGTGTGTCGGTGTGTGTTTAGAGTGCCGCTAAGCTGTTTGAGTCAGCAGTAATGGAGTGACCTGCAAGAGCTGCCAACAGCGAGCTGATGAGAGTCAACAGGTGGTCCGATCTTCCCGAGCACACCCACAGTGACATAAGCACCTTAAAAAAAACCCTCTTTATTTTATCTTTATGTAAAAAGAGTCAAAAATAAAATGATGCACTTTCAAAAATCAGTGTTTACAGGTACTGCACTTGTTAAGTCTTCCTACATTGTGCCATAATAAACTGTTACATTTTAAAGCAAGTAAAAATACAAAACAGATGCACTGGTTCATGTAAAGTGACGATAATAGCATGACTATGCACGGCTGGGTCGACATAAAGTCTGTTGGGAACATTGTCAGAGATGCAATATTTGAACTTCTCATAATAAATGGCAATTAACCCACTTCTCAGGTTCACTTTTCCCCTTTAAATCATATCCCATGGCATGAAATGTAACATGAAATATGGATTATTAGAGCCTGAAAGCATACCTACTGAAAAAAAGTGTCTAAGTACTGACAAAACTACGATAGCTATTTTATTGGCATAATCAAAAGACAAGGCCATTTAGTTTGAAAGAGAAAGAAGAAACTTCATTTGCCATATTGATCTGATGCAAAACTACTTTGCATAACTCTCTTATGCCCTCACTCTGCATGTAACTAGATACACAGCTATGCAGCGAACAGTAAACAGCTTAACACACACAAACTGTAATTGGAGTCTGAGGTTTTAAATGGAGGCAGCTGTGAAGTAAAAATTAACACAGTATTGTAACAAGGAAACTGGATCCAAAAAAGTATACACTCGCTAGCAGTTATCTGTCTGCCTGGCCTTTGTTCTGTCATGACTGATGTCCACTGGGCAATGAGGGACACACTAATATAGAGGCAGTTGGGGATTTATTCACAACACAAAAGATACTAAAGCTCACAGGGATGGATAGCATTGAAAAACAGAAGTTGAAACAAGTCTACTGGATAGCAGGAAAGGGGAAGGAAAAGTACAGGCAGGCAGATATGGGATCCAAGTCAGGGTCAAGGGATGAGGGCATAAAGCACATGGCAACTTTGACAGTATGACAGGAAATGAATGGAACTGGGCTGGTATATTGGCTGAGAGGCTGATGAGGAAATAAGAAGCAGGTACGTGGTGGGCAGGGGAGGCCAGCTAACTGCAGAGCAGATGTGGGACATGGGAACAGGTGAGTAGATGGGTGGGGCAGTCAGGTAATGTGAAAAGGGAGGAAATTCTGAGGGCATATTGGCTGCTTTTCATCATGCTAACATGACTCCTCACTTCCCTCACTCTTCATCACATCTTCTCCCAGCGAGAATAAAGGAGAGATGGAGGACAGGATATGTAGGATACACCTGTGCTTCCTCACTGTAAGCTCCTGTAGAGGTCTCTCACTCCTTGAGGGGCATTTAAGAAAGATCATCAATGATGGAGGATGAAGGAACATGGAGAAGCATAAGTTTTCCGTCCATCCACCCCTAATGGATGGATGGAAAATGGCAATGAAGGGGCCTAGAGAATAGAGAATATGTCTCCATTTACTTAAATAGTCAATACTCAAGTGCAATTCTGATGTGGGCTACTTGTACTGAATATTTCCATTATCTGCTACTCTATATTTGTACTTTATTTCAGGGGGAATATTTTACTTTTTGTTCCACTACATTTATTATGATGTAATATTATAGATTAAGATAAAATGTATCGAGCAGACAAAGTATCTGAAGTGTTATATTAATCAATTAAAGTATAAATTAATATGATAATTATTACTCTAAAATGGGTCATTCTTCATAATGAGTACTTTAACTTCTGGATGTTTAAGTATATTTTATTTATTTAACACTTTTGTACTTTTACTTACGTAACATTTTACATGCAAGACTTTGCTTGGGTTTCACAGCTCCCAGTGTTACTTTGTAGACCTGTGTCATATGAAAAAGTATGCTGACTCTGTGGAATATTCAGGATTAGGAAATAAAAATGGTTCTTTAGAAGGCCATATTTCATGCACCGTATCTGATCACTGTGTCTTTGCTCCCCAGCACGGTCAGCGACCACCACCACCACCATGGTCGTCGAAGGTAAGAACGGAGACGCTGGGGCGCTGTCTGCACGAGGACACAAGAAAAGTTTTTTAGATGACCTCCACTCCACCTTCAGCTCCCCACTGGCCTGGATCTTGGTTCTGGCTCTCATCATTACATGGTCTTGTGTTTTTATCATCATGTTTGACCTGATGGACTACAAGACGGTGTCAGGTAAGGAGAGGTGTTTGCTATTCATTTGCACTTCTCAGCTCCTCAGTCTCAGATACAAATGTTTTATGAACGCTTGTGTATGCAAATTCATAAAAGTTCATGTTCATACCAGCTTCTCCACAGCTAGCTAAGTCAAGCAGATTGTGGCTGAATGTTGGCACTCTTCTGGCGCCAAATGTGGGCCATCTCTGGCTCATATATGGCTGCCAGATTTATCTGAATTTCAAGGTTAGTACTTAGGTGAATGGAACAAGTTTAACCTCAAATTGGAGGCAGTAGAACGGATATATGGGAAGTGTTGCCACGGAAACAGCGCAATGTTTGTCCGAAGTTTTCAGCAGCATCCGAGGAGTCTGACAACCAGGCAAAAAATATGCTGCATACTGTTTAACTTATTATAGTATGGAGATATACAGAACATTTGATTTTAAGTAGATAAGTTTTCTATTGCAAAGTGCAAATTATTAAAACAATATTCAGACTGTTTCTTGCAGATTAGCAGGTTTGATTGTAAGTGTTTACACATTTACACAGGGCATAGGTTTTGTTCCAGAAGTGGGGAGGCATGATGAAGCATATAAGCATATATAAAATACACACACACACACACACACACACACACACACACAAAGAAAAATGATGCTTTTCATAATGATTGTGCAACTCTTGAACATTTCTCATACTATTTCTTTCTTGGAGGGTTTAACTGTAAAAGGGTTAATGTCAAACATTTGGAGTGTTTGAGCATGAGATGAAGAAAAAACGATAGATGCGTGAAAAAGAAAACAGTGCCAAAAGCAACAAGAAGGTAACTGTCTCTTGAAAGGGTGTATTTGTAGCCTGAGACCATTCTTACAGGGTCAGCAATGGTACAAACTATTAATAATTGTGTTAGGTTTATAGCTTAGCTTCAAGTGGATTCTAGTGGTGTGTTCAATGACTTTTTTGCCCTCACAGTTCTCATGCAAGAAGAAAGACTTGCTTCTTCTAAGTGTTATATCGTAGGCAACTGGACTTGCTTGCGTTTCTTGAAGACGTTTCGCCTCTCATCCAAGAAGCAGTTCTTGGACGAGAGGCGAAACGTCTTCAAGAAACGCAAGCAAGTCCAGTTGCCTAACACTTACAATTACCGTGACCTGGATGGCTGAGAATCTTCACCAATGACTTGCTTCATGTTAGCAGGCTTTTTAAACAGTCAGTTGTCCCACTCCAGTTGCCCAAATAAAATGTTGGCATTGTACGTTTTTTGCAAACCACAGATTTTACACATTTCTTTTTATACATGTCAAATTAACATTTCTACAGTGATGTAGTTAAGATTACATCTTACTATATAATGACGAAAACTCTGTCTGTGTGTCTGTTCCACGTTTTTCTCCTCACTGACTTGGTCAATCCATGTGAAATTTGGCACAGTGGTAGAGGGTCATGGGAGGATGCAAATGAAGCAATATTACATCAATTGGCCAAAGGGGGGCGCTATAGCAACCGATTGAAATTGCAAACTTTGAATGGGCATATCTCATGCCCCGTATGTCGTAGAGACATGAAACTTTGCACAGAGATGCATCTCCTCATGGGCGTGGCTCATCACCTAAAGTTGTATAACATCTCAAGGGTTTCACCGATCACCACGCAACTTTGTAGGCATATGACCTCACATAATCTGAGGGGACCCCTCCATTATTGACCCCATCAAACAAAATGGGGGCGCTAGAGAGCTAATTTCTTATCTAGGCCTAACCGCCATATGGATTTTTACTAAACTTGGTTGATATGTAGAACAGGACGCCTCAAGGTGACTGGAGAAATTTAACTCTAATTGGCAACTAGGTGGCGCTATAACAACAGAAAAATGCTTAAAAATGGCTAAAATGCGACCGATCAGTGTGGCTCCCCCTGTGGCCCAATGTTTTGTTTTTTCCTGAAGTTTTATTATGACTAAGTCATGGTATGGTATGCTGTACATAATCATGGAAACTCTCAGTGTGTCATTCTGTCAGTCAGTCATTCTGTCTGTCCCACGTTTTTCTGCTCACTGACGTGGTCAATCTACTGTATTTTCAATAAAGCAATCGTACTATCAAATTCACAAAAACTCTGTCTGAATACATTGCTGTTCTTAATGGGTTCAGTTGACTATTTAATCTGCAATTTCCTATGACCTGTATCCCAAACACACACCATGTGAAACTGTACATGGGCAACTGTGCACTCAGTGGGTATGGACTAGTGTCTATGAGTTGAGTTTCACATCAGGAATGCTGGATGCTGCAGACCAGCGTGTGAGATAAACAAAAGCAGTTCCTTTTTTCAACAAGCTGCACATTTCCAGCTGTGGCAACAATGCTGGATCTCTTAAGCCAAAACATGACGTTTTCCCAGCCCTACCAATGTTGTTTCTGTGCCTAAACCTCACCACACATCAAAGCGTTGTCACAACATAAAATTGAAAAGTAAAGAATAAAGTTTAAACATATGCACTACATGTGAAATGTACAAATGAAATGTATCCTTGGTTTGCAGACACTTACAATGCCAACATTTATTCCTGTGACTGGGTTGCTTGTCCAACCTCATGCCAGAAAAGAGGAAGCACAGATTGCTTCCACTGTAGGCTGAAATGTTTCCCCTTCTTCACCTTCTACCTTTTTAATTGCAACAAAAAGGAGAGAGGGTTATATATAATGTCATGTTTTTGTCCTATCATAAATGTATTTTGTTTCTTTCTCTTTCTTCATTGTAGTATGGCTCTCTATCCTAATGTTTCTACGACACATTGAACTGACCTGATATGAAATGTACTAATTTCCATGTTTATCTGTGCCAGTGACATCACTAAGTTGCAAGCATTGGTTCCATCCATCCTCACAACATTAAAACAAACAATGCTTCCAGAACTTCCATTAATTCCTGTTGTGTTCACCTCTACTCAATTTTCTAACTTTAACATCAACATCTTTTTTTCTCCTTCTTCATTTCCTAAATTATTAAACGTGATTCTCACTTGAAATTAAATGAAAGTCATTTAAGAAAGTGGATTAATGTAGCACAACAAAGGAGAGCACACGTTTCCCCTAGACTATAATATAGCTCATAAGATATCATATTCACAATTTCACCTTGAAACAAAAGACAATAGAGCACAAGGACAAATCAGTTGATAGAAATATCAACTTTCCTTTGTCTTTTTTTTTGACACTATTAATAAGATTTTTTACAATATAACATTGTCTGACAGCATGTTACATCTTCATCACAGTGTGAACACTTCATTTAACAACACCTCTTCTTTCCTTCACCTCTCCTCTTTTTGCTTCACCCCTGTGCTAAATGTCTTTGCTTATTGCCGCTGTGTTTCTCGTCCAACCAGGTCGACCTCCTCTCGTCAGGAAGGTTTTAAAGGATTCAGGCCGTAGAGGCAAGGCCCCTTATCTGCTTCTAACCCCTCGGACCAGATGCTTTTCCTGAAGGCGCTGATAAAAAACTACTAATTACCTAACATTGACTGCTAATATTAGCTGTTAAGTCCTTCACAGAGCACCGCTCCAGCTGCCTCATTTCTGCATCCCTGTCTGACACTGACAGTATCATGCTCAGATTATAAAATAGTATGGATAGTTTGTAGTTTAGTCTAGTTTAGAAGAGATATTTCTGATGTGTATTATTTCTTTAGCACGTTTACCACGTTTTTTATGTCACATATATTGTGTGGTTCAAATATTTGAAAAGAAAAGTATTTTGATTTCAGTGAGGGGGAAAAAACATGAATATTTGAAACCACTTCAGGTGAGCTTGATTTACCAAAACTATCTTGTCTGATGAAAAAAAAAATCAATCTCGTCTGAAATCTTCGCCCTTAAAATACATTTTAATATATAGTTATATTCTTTTCTGTTCTATTATTTTTAATATTTTTCCTGCTTTTATTTTGACTGTTTTTGTGCAGCTTTGGTTGCATTCAGGGCTCGAAAAACTGCGAACCATGCAAAGTTATTCTCTGTAGACAACCTGGTTAAGATTCATTAATGAACAGTACATTAGATACAGAGGTAATGGTCAGCATATGATGCAAAAAAAAGAAATTCCTTAATGATACTTTCTGAACCTCTCTTTAGGATTCAGATCTGCCCTGATTCAGAATGAACAGTGGTCCTCCTTCATCAAACCGTCTTGGAAACAAGCTCATATTTTAGCACTGGGAGACTCTGTCTATTTGATTTGAAAAAAAAAATCCTGCTGTCTCGTGGCATGTAGACTATGGCATATTAAAATTTAAATATGACCTGAAAATTCAATATTCTGATGTGTTATAAGAACCTGAGAATAAAAACTTGATGAAAGAGGATCAATTTGATTGTTTTCAAAAGCTTTTTGCACAGCCATATTTGACGACGGCCTTTTGCAGTGGTTAAACTGGGAGCTGGGTGATCCCTGCTCTTAATGGAAGATTGATCAATTCCTGAAATACAGATTTCAGTTCTTTAAGTTCAGCCCCAGTTTGACCCTTTGCTCCAGAGTTTATGTTTTCATGCATTTCCTCAATGCAGAGGGACGTCTGCACTGAGGAAATGCATGAGTAAGAGTTCAGGAAGTCTGGACATGTTTGGCTTGGTCGAGAGCAAATGAGGAAGACACCTTCAGTCAAACTAGATGATCGACTGAATGACTGTATTCATGTCCCTGCTCCACCAGGAGGCCTCAGCAAGATCAGCTCAGACCCCGTGAAGGCGGTGAACGTTGCCATGGAGGAATCATCTAACATGATTAGTGCGATGTTTAAATTTGCCGCCAAGCTGGTTGCTCCAGAAGACGATGAAGGTACGATCACACATGGTAGAAAAACAAGTGGTGCATCCCATAAAGCTGTGAAAAGCAGAGAGTTTATTAATGCATTCACTCATTTTCCTCTCCTCTTCTATAGGAACGCTATACGCAGTGAGGAAAAAAGGTTTGTATTGATGCAGTTTTTGAATGTACTTCCTGTTTTGCATTCACCATTCTGCTGAAGCCTTGCACGCTGCTATGAGCGTCTTGTTCATGCTGCGCTGCAATACATGTGCTGTTCTTTGAAATGCATTTTTTTTAAAACCTATAAAAAACAGTGTATAAAGTCATACTGCTGCTTTAAAGTCATTACACTGAACTGCACATGTACTGTACTGCAATCACTTGAAGGCAACATCTTTATCTACCTTTATTCTAATTTTTTCAGTTCATTTAACGAACTGAAATCAATGCATGATCATTCTTAAGATGGATAATGATGCCACTGCAGGAATCCTCCATCTTCATAGACATAAAAAATACATAAAATGTGTGGCTGAGGGACTGAGGGGATTGGTCTCATGGAGTTTCAAGCTGACTTGATGTATGAACAATCTCAAAGATTCAAGATGGTTGGAGGTGGATGAGGAGGAGAAGGAGGAGGAAGGGAAGGTGAAGATTAAGAAAGCAACAGGTATTTAAGGATTGCTTTTTTTTCTATGAATGCATAAAATTAACTCTACATGGACATAATCAACCCTGTCCCTCACCCTTGTAACGGTAATGGAGGCAGTGACTTGCAATAAGTTACTGTCCTATTATACTTTCCCTATAACTTTTCTTATAATAAGCTTGCCTATTTCTTGCCTATATCATAACTGCTTCCACTGAGCTATTAAACCTCTACTAACACTAATAATCTACAGTATGTGAAAGATCTAAACAGTAACGTGCTTGATCAAATTAAATCTGAAGTTTTGTTTTGTTAGGTTGCTGATTTAAATTTCTCTTCTTGTGTTTCAGGAGAATTTCTACCCTCCAGAAGTAAAGGTATGTGCCTATTGTTAGATAGCTTATGACTAGAAGAACAGGGAAACTTCTCAGTTCTTTGTATATTGTTTCATTTGTATTTCCATGTACGGTGTTTAAGTGGAATCGTTGTGTTCCCTTGGTTATGAGCTAATTGGTTCCCACCTGCCCTTGTTACGTGGGGACAGGTATGAGTGATACACAAGAGAGATTGAGTGTATTGTGCTTTACAGTGAAGAGAAATTACTGTACCCCTAAGTTGGGATGTGTTAGTACTGTCTTGCTGTGTTGGTTAAAATTAAACGAAGAGGAAGAAGCAAATGTTGTAGCCTGCTTATTACCCACAGCTGAACTGGGGAACTCCAACAGTCAAGAAAAGAGGGTTACACAACACATGTAATGCATTTCAATGTTAAAGTTTGTTAATGTGGAGCCAGTTTTAGACACTTTAAATACTATAGATATGTTAGTAGCTTAATACTTCATCATATATAAGTATATTATGTTTTTCCATGTGAAAAGTCACTGCAAGTGTCAAATGACACGAAGGAATAGAAGTATAAATTAGCATAAAACTGAAACACTGAATAAAATATCTCATCAATGTACTGTACAGTACGTAGTTACTTTCCACCACTGCTATTATAATTTGTCAGTGATGCGTTTGCTGACACCAAAACATCACGAAAACATCAATCTGATGACACATATGCAGCATGTAGCCAAAGCGCTGCAAGAAGTTCATATTAAGAAAACTGCTTCCAGGGGACATTGAAAAGTCCCAGCTGTCACTGTGTTGTGGGCTTCTTGCAGGGTTATTTCTAAATGTTGCACATGTTGTCGTCAAATTGATGTTTTTGTGTGTTGTGTTAAGCTATCTAAATTGTTCTTGTTTGATTTGTTTATTGCAAACAGCTGAAAGTTTGTAAATTTTGCAAATAAACCTAGTTTGCAATGAGGGTTGAAAATTTTTTGATTGCAACTGTTGAGTATTGCAGCCGAGTACTTCCTCAGATCCCCAAGACAATGAAGTTGTTGTGTCTCACTGTCTTGCCATTTATTTCAAAAGAAACTAAAAAATCAAGGTCACAGTATGAACCCTGTTGTTACAAAGTGTTAGATGATAAACTGGTCTTAGTTGTAAACGGTCAGTTTCTAATATCTCACCAGATCTGAGCGGACAGAATTTACCCTGGTGCCCAGATATCAGATGAATGCACAGCTTAAATCACTTATATTATTACTTTTTAAAGACGATCACATCTTCAAGAATTCCTCCATAATAGCAGCAGATGTAAAGCAGTTGAGCTTTATTCAGTGGTTAATTGGTTTGATTGTTAATGTTATAAAAGACATGATGACAGTGATATTAACATGAAAATGTTTCCTGTAGTTATAGGGATGCAAGCAAAGGCAAAACAACCAGTGATTGAAGTTGTGGAGGAAGAGGAAGAAGAAGAAGAGGAGGGGGCTGAGAAAGGAGAAGAGGAAGACAAAGTGGAGGCTGCTGGGGAGGAGGGGGAGGAGGAGGAGGACGAGTATGCAGAAGAGGAGGAAGATGAGGAGGATGAGGAATATGAGGAGTATGAAGAGGAGGAGTATGATGAGGCATATCAGAAATATTATGAGGAGGAGGAGGAGGAGGAAGCTGAAGGAGAGGAGGAAGAAGGAGTGGAGGAGGAGGAGGAAGAGGAGGAAGAGGAGGAGGAGGAGGAGGAGGAGGAGGAGGAGGAGGAGGAGGAGGAGGGGGGAGCAGAAGCTGTGGAAGAGGAGGAGGAGGAAGAAGAGGAGGAGGGGGAGGAGGCGGAGGAGGAGGAGGAGGAAGAGGAGGAGGAGGAGGAGGAGGAGGAGGAGGAGGAGGAGGAGGAGGAGGAGGAAGAGGGAGCAGAAGCTGTGGAAGAGGAGCAGGAGGAAGAAGAGGAGGAGGGGGAGGAGGAGGAGGAGGAGGAGGAGGAGGAAGGAGTGGATGAGGAAGAGGAAGAAGAGGAGGAGGAGGAGGCCGCGAAGGAGGAGGAGGAGGAGGAGGAAGAGGAGGAGGGGGAGGGGGCAGAAGCTGTGGACGAGGAGGAGGAGGAGGAGGAGGAGGAGGAGGGGGCAGAGGAGGCAGAAGGGGAAGAGGGGCCCAGAGAGGAAGAGGGAGTGGAAGCAGCTGCTGATGAAGAGGAGGGTGAGATGAAGGCAGAGGAGGAGGAAGAGGACGTGGAGGTAGCTGCTGAAGAAGAGCAAGATGAGGATGAAGACGAAGAAGATGAGAAGGAACCTGAAGCAGCTGCAGCTGAGATTGATGAAGATGAAGATGAAGTGAAAGAGGAAGCAGCAGAAGAGGATGAGAAAGATGATGATGAGGAGGATGAGGAGGAGGAAGAAGAGAAGGCAGATGCTGCTGATGAAGATGATGTGGAAGAGTCTGAACCTGCAGCTGCTGATGCTGAGGATGAGGATGAGGATGAGGAAGTTTCTCCTAAACCTATCTCCACTTCTGAGGATGAAGAGTCAGCAGTGTCCCCTGATTCTGAGTCTGAAGTACCAGTTGACATCAAAGACAGTGACGAAGATGTGTCCCTGCCCGATGATGATGACGAAAAAGATGAAGATGATGAAGATGATGAAGACGACGAAGACGACACCAGCGCCGAAGCATACACTGATACCTCAGATGTCAGTGAATCTGCACTTCTCCCCAGTGATGAGGAGGAGGAGGAAGAGAAGGACGATGATGACGATGAAGATGATAGATTAGCTGAGGGTGTTGCAACATCTGATAGCGATGACATCATTGCAGAAGACAGTGATGAAGACCTGGATCTTGATCTCCCTCCTGTTCCTGTTGCCAGTGAGGATGATGAAGATGACGAAGACCTTAAAATCCCTGAAGAGGAAGATCTTCCACCTTTGCCCGTTGTCGAGTATGATGATGATGACGAGGAACACCTGGAAGAAGACATCAAAGTTGCTGAAGACACTGATGAAGATGATGATCTGGACCAATCAGATGAGGACATCTCCATCGCTTCCTCTGAACACTTTGCAGACGATGAAGATGAGGAAGACACTGACCTCAAAGACCTTGACCTCGACCTCGACGTCCATGTTGACCTCGACGAAGATGAAGATGACAAACCTGATGATGTCATTGAAGAGGACATCCATGACGACGACGACGACGATAAAGAAGAGGAGGAAGTCGATATCCCTCCTTTTGAGAGTACAGACAGCGGAGTCTTAGGTGATGAAGATGAAGATGACGATGTTGGTCTTAAGACAGATGAAGAGACTGTCTTCAGTGATGACATCTCCTATGACACAACCGATGATGATGATGAAAAAGATGATGAAGATATCGATACCAGCTCATATGAATTTACCTTCGAACAAGAAGTAGGAAAAGAAACCTTTGTTGAAGCTCTAAAAGATGAAGATGAAGAAGATGATGATGATGATGAAGTCACATCAGAGTCGTTAGCTCATGAGGATGAGGATGAGGAAGAAGACGATGACGATGATGTTGATGACCTCTTGTTAGCAGGTATAGTCCAGCATTATTGATTACATTCACTTTAAGTTATAGACCGTTTCACTGTAATTGCATTGCTTGGCAACAGCTTGGGCCGACGTTAACTTCCTGTTAGATGATGTCATTAACATACACTGCACAACATTCGAACAGGAAATACAGAGACCCATTTAGAATCTTAAAGTTTAAAAGTTTAAAACGTCTGTAGACCAAATCACCGCGACGTCACACGAACAACAACAATCACTTGCGGGTAGACAACTGGCAGTTGATTTGAATTGCGGCAATATGTGAAATCAACAAACTTGTTTATTTGTGTCATTTTCAGCCATAACTATAAGACATTTAGTTAAATATGGTGGTTCGACCAAGCAGCAACCTCCAGGGCTGAAAAATGAAGCCAACATGACAGTGTCAAAAACTGCAGTTCTTTGAATGGCCACTTGAGGCTGCAAATCCCCAGAGACCTCCATGTTAAAATGACCAACTTAACAGCAGAAATAAACATGTGTACAGCCTGGTAAAAAAAATACGATTTTGGTCTGTGGAGCTAATTAATCCACTCGTGACAACTGCATGGGGGTAGACTTTTTTTTTATTTTAACTTACTTTTTCACATTTTGATAAGGCTTAAAGTTACACATAATTAAGAGCAGGCCAGTTTGATTGACAGGCTGTCTGCCGATAGTGTCCTCGGTTTCTCTGTCAAATCTTCCCCTCACTCCCCCAACGCCAGGCTCTCACCCAAATATGGTCACTTCTGGCTCCATGAAACAAGATGCAGTATCCTCAACACATTCTCACTCCAACCTCATCACGTATTGATGTGCTTGGTCATGGAGTTCCACTTCCACATACAACGTGCAAAGTACCCTGGGTGAGTTGGTTGTTGACGTTCTGGGACACCGTGTCAAGTTCTGCCTGTTACATGCATTGTCTTCTTTAAAAATACACCTCTGTTTTCACAGGAAATTCAACGTTTACATACAGTCTCTTTCAAAAGAAACACACTACATTGGTACAACATTGCGAATAAACACGTGGTAAGGTTTAGGCAACAAAAACACGTGGTTAGGTTTATGAAAAAAGAACAGGGTTAGGCTTTAGAATCTTACGGCATGTGAGCACAGCTTTCTTGGGTGAAGGTCGGTGTTTGTTAGACGCATCCACCACCACTCATGCCCACCCCACTCAGACTTTCGCTGCCTTAACTTTTATCCTTGTCCTGTCGCATTTCCCCCTGACACCACTGGCCATGTATTGTGCCAACATTAAAGGACACCTTTTTTGTTGGTTTCGCAAGTCAGTGCCCAAACGCCGGATTTCGATGACTGAGTTCACAAACAAAGGATGACGTCACGGTTGAAATTTTATGAAGGCTTAAAGTTATGCGTAATGACGGTTGACCCACTTTGAGCGACAGGCTTTCTGTGTCGTGTCCTCGGCTTCTCAGTCAGATCCACAGCTCGCTCCTCCAGTGCCAACCTCAACCCAAATATGGTAACTTTAACCCAAATACGGTCACTTCTGGCTTCAACAAAACAAGATGGCGGAGGCCGAAATGCCAAAATGGCAAACTTGAGGCTTCAAAACGGAAATCAAACCAATGGGTGATGTCACGGTGACTACATGTTAGCATGGTAGCTAAGTCTATGGGTCCGACCTATCTGTTTTTTCTGCAGTGCTTATTTCATGTACTGTGTTGCTTAGCTAGCATCTAACATAAGCAATGAACTGCTGACAGGGGCCACATTAAAACACATATTAGCCACGCTATATTTGGAATATTTACTCCACTTCACCTCACACACCAACCAATTGAGGCAGCAGTAGATCAGCAACTCCAGTGTTCTGTGAAGTAAAATGACTGCTTTTGTCAATGGAGTCTGGTGGCTTTGAGATAACAGCTTCAGTTACCCATCGGAAAGGGTACACTTAAGTACCCTTAAACTGATACAAATTTTCTTAAGTGGATCTTTTAGGTGACTAACAGCTAACCAACTAAGGCTGCTTTTGCTTAGCGCCATTTCTATACATAATGCAGGGGTTTTCTACACGGAGTTATCGGAAACAAACATTGTGATTTGGTTTATATTACTGTATTTCATAACCAGAATGAAAAATGCTTGAATTTGATTGGCTGGCATTTGTCATTTCAAATTATCATTATGGACAGCAAACAAAGATACTGTTAGCAGTTAAATTACCATACTAAATCAATATTACATCGACACTGATAATAACTGAGTAATAATAATAATAATAATAAATCATATAATATATCATAAACAATATACTATAGGGGAGAAAAGTCAGTGTGCCATTCTGTACATACGTTTGAAATAATGAAAGATACATGTGTCTATAATTATATTTTTAGGCTGCTTTAGGCTCTTTAAAAATCGTAACTAAGACAAAAGATCAAAAATTACATCAACAATAATACTGATGAAATATTATCTAACAGGATAAATCTGAGTTTAAAATAAATTAATACATTTTGTTTTATTTTTGTGACATCATTCCATTTCCCTAAACCTTCCAATCCCAAAATGTTGCCCAGCATACCTCAATACATATCAAAGTAATTTTCGAACATTGGCAGTGTAATGATTATATTTGTAGCTGCAACTGCAGCAGCCTTCACTGTCCAGGAGGAGGCAGTAAAGACTGAGGCAGATGAACATGAGGGTGAGGGTGAGGATGACATCGAACCGGCTGCTGATGAAGATGAAACTGAGGAGGCTGAAACAGAAACAGTTGGCGAGTATCACACATTTAAAACACCTGCAGCGTCACACACACTGTAAAACTGCATGAGCTCATCAGAACTCATTTAACACATCATTAAACTTTTTCTCCTATTAATGGGGTTTTACACTTGTTTCCTAAAACTGGTAAGTTTGACAGGTAGTGTCATCTTAGCTGAGGTAGTTTGTGCATTTAATATTCAGTGTTTTTAAAAGGAATATGAAGTCAATGATATTATTACAACTCTCTTATCTAATAGCAGAAACAAAACAATATTTGTTTACAGCTGCATCAAACATGCATCGTGCATCAAACCATGTTTTATATAGACATTTTTAGAAGTTCTGAAGTCTTTCTGGAGCAAATTACAGCAAATTAAATGTTTTTGAGGTTTCCTTATTTTACTTCATACTGCAGTGTGAGTCTGCCATCTACAGTCCAAAGCAGGCTTATAGGACAAAATAAAAAAATAAAAATAAAATAATATAATATAAAATAAAATAAATAAAAGTAATGAATGAATAAAGAAAATCCAAAATCCTGATATTGGTGTAAATAAAAAAAATAAATAAAACAAAATAAAATAAAATAAATGAATAAAAAGATAATCCGCAATCCTGAAATTGGTGTAAATAAATAAAATAAAAATAAAAATAAACAAGGAAAATCCAATATCCTGATATTGGTGTAAATAAAGAATAAAATAAAATAAAATAAAAGCTAACATAAGTTTGCATTTGTTTTCTACATTTCAGTGATAAATGAGGTGTTTTTTCACCACACTGCGGTTACATTCATGTACATTTCTGAACATGATTAAGATCAAAACATCAGCACTCTTATCTTTGTTGCACATAATTTATTGTCTAAGCTTTTGGTTACAAAGACCATTAAATAGTTTTTATTGCTGTTTTTATATTCAACACTTTTTTGGTCATGTGGGGTAGTTTTTGGAAATTATAGTCATTTTTTTGCATTTTTGCACACCCATTTTAGATTTGTCTTTGTCCAGATTTGTGTCATGTGAGCCTTAAGTAAGAACCAGACATGTAAACATTTCAAAGCATTCCTTTAATTTCATTATTACCCCAGAGTCTAAGTAGAAAAACCTTGAGTGTTACCAGTCACCTTCCAAATAATTCCAATTATATGTTGCTGCTTTCACTCTCAGCTACCATTCTGCCTGCTGCCCTTGAGGAGGAGGATGAGGATGAGGGAGAGGACGAGGAGCCGACGGCTGAACTAAAGAAAACTGTAGATGAGCCTGAAGATAAAAAAGAGGAGTACGATGAAGACGAGGATGAGGAGAAGGCGACGGTGGATGTGATCAAACCTGTGCCTGAACCTGAGGAAGAAGCACCAAAGCCTGAACCCACAGGTCAGAGAGCAAAAATAATTACAGCTGTTATGTTCAGTTTACTTTCACTGTGACTTCACCTGTGCTTTGTGCTTTCAGTGTGTCCCTGTATCCACCCTGCAAAGATCAAAGAGTCGGTCACCAAAGAGCCGGTCACCAAGACTGCAGAGAAAAAAGGTTTGAGACTTTCCTCCGTGTTCATTTGTTATCTTCACATGGTAAGCTTGTCTTACTGTTGCACCTGATGCATTTCGATTTTTGTTTGAGTTCTTGCAGTGAAATTCTGTTTCCTATCTGCTAGTAATGCTAAAATATAAACTTAATTTGCTGTGGTGGTGAATACAGATTGGTATCCTACTGCTGGTGGAGCAGCTGCAGAAGTACATCACTGTTAAAAACCTCAATGTTTAGTCCTTCAGTTTGTAGCTTCAAGTGATTATTATATAATCTCATGTTTGTGTTTTCAGAAGCTCCAAGAAGAGTTTCAGCTGTGAGAAGAAGAAAAGGTACAGAAAACAATTTGAAGTTTTTACCAAAGAGATTCCCATATAAAGCTTAGGTTTATTCTCTGAGCTAATACTAAACTTTGACTGATGGAGCAGGTTGGAGTGCTTCATTACAGGCCGAATTCAGGAAATTCTCCAGCCCTCTGAAATATGAAACTAGTTCATGTGTTTTGGGGCGACTGTAACATAAAGCTAGTGGTAACTTTGATGTTGCATTAGGAAGCATAGCCAAGTAAAGTTCCCATTTGTATTGGTTGCCATTTTTATGCCTCTGTGCCGGCGTTAGCTGTAGCCAGAGGGGTTATTGTCTTCAGGTTGTCTGTATGTCATACATGCAGCGCATTCTCATCCCAATCTCATGAATGTGATATCTCAAGAAAGAATTTCATCAAATTTAGCACAAGATGAACTAATTAGATTTTGGTGGTCATAGGTCAAAGGTCAAGATCACTGTTACCTCTTCTGTCTCATTTTCATTAATGCGATATCTTATGGACAGCTTGATTTTTTTTTTTTTGATTTTCAGAGCGTGAAGCTGTGAAGACGGAGGAAAAGCCAAAAAGGAAAGGTAACACTGAAAACTGTGACATACCATCTTTATAGCACCTTTGTCTTAAAAACTAAATGTAAAAGCAACTCATTTTTCTTATTATGATGTAATGAATTAAACTATGTGCTTGTGTTGCACCCAGCAATGCCCAGAATTGCAGCTCTGGAGCCGAAAATCAGGAGGATTGCGAAATTTCCTGCTTTTCTCAAAGGTACTCAGACTGACTGCGGGCCTATGATGGTCTTTGAACCACGAGATCAGGACTGAGTTTAAAGGAATAGGGTGAAACACTTATTCCCCAATCTGTCCATGAAACATGCAGCTAACAGATCAACCAAACGGGATATAGCATGTTAATTAGTGAGCTCTGGGGATGTTGGTTGGTGGATTTTGTAACCTCTGCAGAGCCAGGCTAGCTGTTTCCAGTCTTAATGCTAGGCTAAGCTAACTGGCTGCTGGATCTAGCTTCATATTTATTGTACAGACATAAGAGTGGTATCAGCTAAAAAATATTGAACTATTCCTTTGAATTAAGCTTAAACTGTAAGAAACATCCACAGAAAACTGCATAAATGGATTTTACATATACCTTTCCAACAACACCTCTTCAAAAATTCTGTCACCAAATTGTCACACTTCTATTTAATGACATGTTCTTTATTTTATATTCCAATGAAAAGCCAGGAAAGTGGAAAAGCCTCCCACCAAGACTCCCACTAAGACTCCCAAAAAAGGTACGTTGATAAGTCGGCTGCTAATAAGTCACATTGACACTTAATCTGTGGTAAGAGCTAGGCAAAGTACTGTACTGTAGATAACGGCACTGCTATTTTCAAGTCAGAGTTTATTTTTAGCACCTAATAAATCACAAACCTCAAGGGGCTTTACAGTGTTTACAGCATACAGTACTATACCATCTGTCTTTAGACCCTCGATTTGGATCAGGAAAAACTCCCCAAAACAATCCTTTAAAGGGGGAAAAATGGAAGAAACTTCAGACCACACAAACACATAAGAGGCAAAACTGAAGCACGCCATTCACATAAGAGAATGAAATGGACACACAAGGGAGAGACTGAATTTCCTGCAGGACAAAGATCCCAATCCAAAACATCTTGAATCAAGCATCGGCAGCAGGGAGAGAGAGAGACAGAGCGGTCTCAGGATGGCTGATTGGTCCGGCACACACACCTTAGCGATGTCCTTGTTGGACAACGCAAAAAGTGTTGTTTTATCATCTGGTTATTTTTCTTTGACAGAAAAAGAGACAGAGACCAAAAAACAAGAGGAGGTCCCAGAATCTGGACAAGAACGTATGATACTTTTTATTTTCACTATGACTTTAAAAAGGTTTTTAACCTATACAAATGTTGATATACAAAATACAGTTAGCAAACCAACATGTATCGTCTGTTTCAGTCGGCCCTTGCAGACCTGCACCAGTCTACTGCCCGTCTCCACCTGGCTGGTACGGTAAGTAACAATGTTATCATGCAGGGGGGAAAAAAATCTGATTTCATGACGATGGAGGTGACAGCCTGCTTTAAATATATGTTTATCTTCCAGTTCATCACATTGTCACAGACAACCCGTACCCTCCTCCAACCACTTCAGGTATTTACACTGTTGTCATATCAGCAATATTGTATTAGTAAAAGACTATTCCTTTGATATATTTTCATGTTTTCAGTCTCTACTGCTGGAATATACAAACTTTTTTATTTTCAGCTCCCTCTGCTCCTGTTCTGACCGCTCACCCTGTCCATCCCGGAGCTCCACCTCTGCAGCCTTTTTACCAGCAGCAGCAGATGCATCCGCTCTACGCACAGTATCAACCATATCCACCGATGCAGCCAATGCCACCAATGATGCAGCCTCAACCAGAACCAGCGCAGCCAGTCCCACCAGTTGAACCGGTCCAGACAGAAGTCAAGGAAGAAGAGGCTCCTGTTCAGGCTGAGGTCGTAACTCCAGCTGCTGAGGCTCAGCTGGCTGTAGCTCCAGTCAAGGGTGAGAAGAGATGAACTGAGGCTCACAGTGTTCTTATGTGCAGATTCAAAACTTTTAGCCAGTATGGCAGAACTGTTATTTGAGTGAGAAATCTGCAAAATCTTGCAACACTCAAAGGCATATAAGACCTTTATGATTTTAGATTTGGAATATGGTTTGACATTAAAAAGTATTACCTCAGATGCAGAATGCAAACTTTATCAGATTTGGCCAGGTAAGGCTGCAGAGCTGTGCACACAAGAAAATATGAAATGATGCAATGCTTTAGAGATTACAAAAAGGTCTTAAGCATAATGTCAAAACACCATTATGAAGCAAAAATGGTAAAAATGATCTTGCTATGCACCACAGAGGTAGAAAAACCACCAGAAACTGAGATTTGCCCTGACTTTGACTACTTTTAAATCCAGGTATCCAGGCATATTTTTGACATATGTATCAACTTTTTAGCCTTTTTTTTTCTACTCCCGTTGTTTTTCTGATCACATACTACAGTCTGGAAATGTTGCTGTTTAGAATCATAATCTTTCAGGTTTTATGCAAATTGAAGTTTACATTTTTAAAACACTCGATATTTTAGATCTTATATGATCTGCAGGGATGCAAGCAGTCTCAACAGAGTAGATGATGAGTTGAATTTCAAATGAACATATTCACCAAATTAAACCCAATGCGTTCTCATCCCAACTTGCTGCGTCTCTGTCAGTGGACCCAAACGTCAAAATATGATATGCTAGGTAACCTCCTGCGTCAGTTTTGGATGTTCACGAATGACGTGTCAATTGACACATTTTGGTTGCATTGTCTTTTTTCAAACTACCTTTCCATTCTCACAGGAAACATGCAGTTTCTGCTTGTTCCATGCATACAGTCTTTTTCAAAATAAACTTAATACATCGGTAAATACTTTATTTATTTCCTTAAGTTTAGGCAACAAAAGTTCCTGGTTAGATTTAGAAAAAAAAACATTATGGATTGGCTTAAAATTAGTGTGGTTCTAGCTGACGGAATGTCACATCACATGACATATGTCACACTACTATAGCCTGCTACACATATTAGCACACTACATTGTTATTAAAATAATGCCATTGACTTTTGGTTTCACACGGGAAATGACCAGTGGGTGACAAAGCAGCAATATTTGACAAGTTCAGTTGTGGACGATGGCGTTAAAAATAGCCACCGCCCGGTGCACATCGTACTATTGTGAAAGGTGCCTCTGTGCATTGGTATCTGAGGCTGAAATCACTGACAAAGCAGCAGCATTTGATGAGTCGAGAGTGAGAGTGGGCTGGGAAAAGGGGCTTCGCAATGACACCATCTTGATATCAACAGTAACCACCCCATGAGTGAATTGCAAAGTGGGGGCAATGAGCTAGGCAGTGGGATACACACATGCACTGTGCATGCATGCATCTGGACTGACAACAAACCACAGAGAAGCTCGGATTACAACACGCACATAGGGAGTGTGACTTCATTCTCTGCTCAGGACGCCATCACTTCATTATATCTTTACATAACAACCTGTGGTTTGCTGCTGCACCAATGTTCTGTAAGTTGCATGCAGAACCTTTAAAGGTCTAGTGTGTAGAATTTAGTGGCATCTAGTGGTGAGTTTGCAGAACTGGACTCCTATGTGGCAAGCGCATAGGCTGCTGTAGAACAACATGACGGACTCTGTGTAAGAGGACCTGGTCCATATACAAGTATAAATGGCTCATTCTAAGGCAACAAAACCACAATTCTTAGTTTCAGGTGTTTATAAACACTAATGGACTTGGTTGAAAACGCCACACTAAAGTGCCCTCTTGAGTGGCGAAAATGAGAGGATGTGCCCTGTCAGCTGCCCTCTTGAATGATGAAAACGAGCGGATGTGCCCTTTTGGCTGCCCTCTTGGCTGCTTTCTTGATTAACAAAAATAAGAGGATGTGCCCTTTTGGCTGCCCTCTTGAGTGGTGAAAATAAGAGGATGGCCCCATTTGGCTGCCCTCTTGAGTGATCAGAACAAGACAATGTGCCTTACTGGATGAAAATGAGCAGATGTGCCCTTTTGGCTGCCCTCTTGAGTGATCAAAACAAGACAATGTGCCCTATTGGATGAAAATGAGCGGATGTGCCCTTTTGGCTGCCCTCTTGTCCCCATGTCATGCAGTAGGTGCCCTTTTTTCCTTTGCGCCCCTGCCCTTGAAACATCCTGAATCCGTCACTGATTATAAACTAATGACAATGTAGTTGTGAATGTTGTAACCATTTCTGCCACAAGATGTCACTAAATCCTCCACACTGGACCTTTAAATGGAATCTTTGCAATTGAAAAAAATATAAAGAGACCCTTAATTTCATGACTTAGCTAAACTCTTTTCTCTTTAAGAACCAGAGACTGTTAAGGAGGAAGTGAAGGCTCCATCCACAAAGAAAGGTACAAACAGTTTAGTTTGTTGAATAGTTAAGCACAAACACAATTTTTAAAAAGTTAAACACACACATATATATTTTCTCTTCATTAGTGCTGTGAACAATAATTAACATAGGATATTTTTCAGCTGAAAAGAAGAAAACCAAGGCTGTTGATTCAGCAAAAGGTAGGCCTACCGCATGCCTCTCCAGATCCACTGAATGCCTCATTGCCATTTAACTAGAGGATTCCTCATAATGACAACAGCTGCAGCATCGAACAGTGATATACAATGACACAATGTGCTCTAAGAATGAATTCATTATGGAAAATTAACTCTGCATAGCCATTTCACTCACATTATCCCCTCAGAGCCAGCAGCAGCCAAAGAGAAGACAAAGAAAGGTAATTGATGTTTGCAGCTCAGTAATTTGCTGCTTTCAATGGCGCTCACTTGAGTGTTGTTACAAATAATACTGACAACAGTTTGAGCTGTGCTTTGCGGTAAAAATACAAACAGAATTGCACACTTCAGTAAGATATGAATATCATAATTTAACACTATTTTAAAAATTGTAGATGCTGCTGTTTCAAAAGACAAACCCAAAGCTAGCACTACAAAGAAAGGTAAATAAACTTTAACTTAATGTGGTTATCTTGAGGAATATTCATGTTAATTTAACATACACTGTACTTATTGATTTTTTTTTTTGTTTTGTTTTGATACAGAACCAACAGCCAAAAAAGAGAAAACCAAAACTCCTGTACCAGCTAAGAAAGGTAATGTACATATTGGTAGAATGTGATGTTCGTAATAATGTATACAGTATTTGATGTCTTTGAGTCAGTTGCATTTGCTTTAACAGAGCCAGCTGTAAAAGAGAAAGCCAAAAGTCCTGCACCAGCTAAGAAAGGTACATAATGACCAGGTGTTATGGTAGAAAATAAAGTTTCTACTCTTCAGAAACAAAGTAAAACCCGGTAAAAATGAGCTCCTTTGAAGGTTACAATATTGAGGTATGTATAAGTTTACATGTCGTATCTTTGATTCTACAGAGCCAGCTGTAAAAGAGAAACCCAAACCTGCTGCAGCTGCTAAGAAAGGTAAATCGTAATTACGCCACAGGGTGTCATAGGAACTATAACTGTCATGTGAAGCAGCAGCTAATATTTTACAAAGAAAACAAATGATTCAGGCCACTAATCACACCTCTTTCCTCATTATATTAGAGCCTGCGGCTACACGACAGAAGAGCAAATCAGCTTCTGAAAAGAAAGGTGAGTACACACACACTGACATGCATTCATTTGCATTTAAGTCAATCATCATTCCTGCCAGTGACATTAAAGATGATTGGAAACTAATTGTTTTTGCTCCTCTCGGAAGCATCACCTGTCAGGAGCAAAGCCAAGGCTCCTGCACAAGTTTATTAAAATGACATTTTGGTTGAAGATTTGGTTTCGATCATCCAGTTTAGCAGGATTCTTCACTTGCATTATCTTTTCAGTTCGTGCAGATGCTAAACCATAATTTGATTTAAATCTAAATGAAAATATTGGTATTGATTTGTTTTTAACATTCCAGAACCAGAACCACGTCCACAGCCGCTCAGAGTGAGACCGAGGCTAGAAACTATGAGGAGGGCGAATGTAACCTCCCATGCAAAGGAAGAGAAACCTGCCAGATCTTCGTCTGAACCAGGTAACACTTTCTCTAATGCGAGACACAAATAATTTACCATGGCCATTTACTGGCCTGTGGAGCAGAGCAGGACTCTTGTACTGAAACTTGCAGTAATTTGTATGTCTTTTTATTTTCAGCTAAGGCTAAATCAAAATTATTGGCAGAGCAGAAAAGTAAGTCTACATTTTATTATGTGTATGTATGCCTGTATTTGTTGGTTAATTTGTGGATGGGTTGTTTTTATGAATCCACACCGGCGACAGCCAGCAGGGGGCATTATGTTTTCGGGTTGCTCGTGCTCGTTTCATTCTTGTTGACGCAATTTCTCAGGAACACCCAGAGGTAATTCCTTCAACTTTGGCACAAACATCCACTTAGACTCAAGAATGAACTGATTAGATTTTGGTGGTCAAAGCACAACACATATTTTTGGACATAATTCAGTAATTCATATGCTAATCATGCTTAACTTTAACACTAATAGATCTAATAGGATCAAATGATGAAGTGATATCATCTTATATCCAAAAGGTCAACTTCACTGTGACATCATAATCTCCTGCAAGAACATAGCAGAAGGGGAGATGTTTGGTCAGATACTGACTTGGTGACACTAGTCTTTGGTGCCTACCTTGAAACCTTGCTGACTATATAGATTTTATGTTGAAGATGAGCATCCATGTTTTAGAATATGTAGCTTCTTTGCATCAACATCCATATTTGAAGCATTGTCAGCTGTCATGGCTACGTATGAGTCTGGACAAACATGGATGTAAACTGTAACTCCAGCTTTACTGGTTTGTGAAGGCAGTCAGCCACACAGCTGTAATTCTAGTTTTAGGTTACCTACTGTATTGTTTTATTTTTGGGGGCATTTAACTGTCAGTTTACATATTAGAGGCAGACAGGAACATGTGTGGAAAGAGAAACAAGTGGACGATATATGCAACAAATGTCCCCCCCTGGATTCGAACCGGCAACATTGATGCAAATGTGGTATTAGCCCCTAGACCCCCGTGATACCTTTACAAATTTCATTTCTAATTTTCTAAGGATTTTTGTTCAAGCCCTTTTCTTGTTCCAAGCAGGACATTGAAATGCAGCAAACACAAAATCATTAACTTGGTAACTTAACAAGGCTACCTCATCTACCTTTTTATCGTCAGTCATGCTCTAACAATAATGTCTGCAAACTAAGTGGCTCCCAGTATTTTCTGATTGAACATGCTCATTGGCTCTGGGAGAAATTAACTGAACAGAGTAATTAATGTCATATAAACATAAGTTGAGCAGTGAAAGAGCAGATGAGAGGTTGGGTTTTTCTCAAAACATTCTGTATTTAAAGATTTTGGGTTACAGTAATGGTAAATCTCTCCTGACACTTCTCAGGACAAATCACACTTCTTGGAAACATAGTCACAGATTATGAGATTAAATGGGCTGTCTTATGCATGATAAAGTTCCAATTAGGACACGTCAAGCTGCATTACACTGAGAGGAGAATATTATTGCCAGAATATTAACAGGTACACCTGAGAATTATTTGGCAGGATGTAATAGGGCTGTCTCTCCTCTCGCAGGCAAAGCTGAGAAGGCTGAGAAGAAATCTGTCAAAGAGGCTGAAGGTATGATTCACAATTAGAAAGTGAATCTAATGTGTGCTGTGGGTGGGTGACATTGATGAGTTTCTCTCTTTTTCCTCCCTCTCACATTTTAGATAAAGAGAAAAAAACACCACAGCCGAGTAAGTATGAAAGTTATTTATCTCTAGTGATATCCAGTCACCATGACAACAACTAACACTTCTCTGAAATCAAGTATGACTGGTGTTGTATATTCAGAAGTTGGCACAACTTTTTCAACAACTGACACAAAAGATTGCAGCATTGAAAGTAAAGACTTTGCTTTGCTGATATCTTGATATAAAACAAACCAATTAGTATAACATGGCGTCTAAAAGGTGTTTAAGGCCCTGCACACTAATGCCAGGTTCAGACTACACAACATTTTTGTCTGTTAAGATGGTCACCATGTCAGGATAGGTGATCATGGAGTCATAAATTCTTGCCATGACTTGGGCGAGAGACATGATGGACGATACGTTGGTCCTATAAACTGTAAGCCAGAAGTGACGATATTTGGATGACAGATTGGAGCTGTGAAGGAGGGAGGGGTGGATCTGACTCATATGGTGCTTCTCAAAGTCAAGGATGCTTACTTGGTGGGACAGGTCCTTCCAAGTCTGCGTCCTACAGAAGTTAGCAAGTACTTAGGGGTGCATCATTGAAGAGGCCCTGCCTTCAGTTCTGGCAAATCATGTGCAAGGAATTCATGCCCCCTGAGCATACACACATGCAAACTTGAAAATTCTCTAAAGGAAAGACTTGATCCTCGGTAGAACTCAAAGGATCCTTGACATTGGAACAGTCCTTACAGCTCCGTACAGTTATCACGAATGTTGAAATTAGCTATAGAGAGCAAAACTGTCAACATGGGGGTCTATGGGGATTGACTGGCTTCTGGAGACAGCCTCAAGTGGCCAGTCAATGAACTGCAGTTTCTGGCACTTCCACGTTGGCTTCAGTTTTCAGCCCCAGCAGTTGCAGCTTGGTTTTTCCTTGACTAATCAAAACCTGCTGTCTTTCACAACCTGCGTAATGTCTTGGGGAAGGAAGTGCTAAGGACAAACCTCTGGGAACAAGATTGTAAACAACCAGTGGCATGTGTTTTGTGTTTGAAAAAGACAAAAAAAGAGAGAAAAAATGACTTTGACCTTTCTTCTGTTTCAAAGATCCGCCTCGTAGCACCAACAGCATCACTCCTTTTTGTCTGCTACATTTAAAGTTGTGCTCTGTGCTGTTATTGGTCAACGGCAGCAAAGGTCATGGAATTTGTCATACTCAGAGAAGGCAAAAAAATTGCTAGTCTTTTTTCAGTATGTTGTGAGGCGTCCCAGATGTAGTGTCGGTTGTCCTATATGATACACTACATGGGAGAAAATGATCAATTGTTGTGCCAGATGCCTGTTTTTGCTCCCTGCGACGCCCTATGTGTATCAGGCCAGGTTATTATCAGGCTGATATCATGTGGTCTGAACCTGAACCTGACATTACACAGGTGTGTACTCAGTCTGGTTGATGTTCTGAAGAGGTATGCTGGGATTTATGTGATGCAACAAAACACAATGTCCTAATAAGAGTCATCACGGGTTGTCTGACTCGAATGATGGCAGCAGCTCTTTGGGTCACAGGTGACAGGCTTGAACCCTGAAGCCCGACTCAAAGACAGGCAGGTTGAAATAAAAGTTCACATTTATATATGTCAAAAACAGGCAAGGGTCAGAACCAGGTATAGTATGCAGAACAAAAGACTTGAAAGCCCGGGTGTCAGCAGAGAAATTGGCAGGGAATGAGTGGAAATGGGAAACAGGTGTGCAGGTGGGCAGGGAGGGTCAGGTGATGGGAATGGAGGAAAAAGGGTTAGTGCAGGGCAGAAGGGAGTGGCTGGATCTGAAATGACAGGAGAGTATGTGGCAAATATGAATGTATGTTTGCTGTTTTCCCACCAGTCAACAGACCTGATAAAGCCTCTTGCATGAACAGAGAAAGTACTTCCAGTAATTCACCTGGGTGACTGAGAACCAGCACAGACCCAAAGTAGCCCTTGTTTACATGTTTTATTCCATATGCTTGTTGTTCATAGACAAAGGAAAAAGAGCGCCCCGTAAAGCTTAAGGTATCCAGTTAATTTCCACCATCTTCCCACTGGTTGACTCAATACAAATTTGCTTTAATGACATTAGGAACATAAGCGATTAGAATTTAATGAGATGAGCTGATTGAGACGAGATTACCAGCCTTTTGAGCTGCCTTGAGTCACTGGAAGAGATTATGGCCTTTGATGAATATGGCAACAATAATACTTAGCTGGACTGATTAAACCCATGAAGCAAAACCCATTAAATTGGGGTATTAGTGTTCTGTTATTATTGAGTCACCCAGTGGAGGTTCAGCACCCCCACCCCATCTCGTCCCCACTGCCCCGTGTGACTCTACACTTTCCTACTCATATAGTATTTCCTGTTTCTTAGTGTGTGATCAAATTAGGTTGATTACTCTGATCCAAACTTTAATTTATAGGTTTAATGTTCTGCCTTTCTTTTAAATTGGGTTGCTTACTTTATTTTTCATGCCTCCACTGTGAACGAAAAATCCAAAAACTGAGAAACTCAGAACTGCTTGTACATTCCATCTATGGGTACCACTGGAATAATCAAACTTTATGCCCTTGGGAGAACATCAAAATACGGCATTGCAGAAAAACAGCATTGAAATGTTTTCTGTTTGTTCATGACGGTTGGCACAAAATAACTACCCACACATTAAAAGAAATATCAAAGACTGTTTGTGTGCTGAGTGTGCTGATTTTTTAGCAAAAATGCAATTTAATTTCAGCCGGACTTTAACAGAAGAATGAAAGAGCACAAGACCACAAAAGAACATCACAGTGTGTCTTCTGAATGAACCTTTTTTTCCTTTCCCAGGCTCTTTCTCCTCATTTTCCTACTCATATGCATGCAGACACTCATCCTGTGTCTTCTGTCTCTCTTACACAGACTCACACACACATACCAACAATATAACTATGCATTTTATCCTATTTCTTGCAGAAGAATCCCAGACTGAAGAAAACATTACAGAAAAGAAGAAACCAGGTAGGAGTTGCTGAAATTTCATCAGACTGTTTTGACTAACTGTGACTTTCTGATGAAACTTACACAAATAAATAGAGGTTTCCTCTTAAAGCTTTTGCATACCTTTATCCAAATGGAACATACTTTGAAGTATGTTTTTTTGTTTTGTTTTGTTTTTTTGCCTCTTTGCCTGCACAGGTAACTGACACTATAGAGACAGCCAGGTAATAAGGAGAGAGGTGAAGGATGGTGTGACAGGCAACAAAGGTCTTCAGCTAAACAGTTTTAAAGGACCATAACCTACTGGGAAGCACATGGGTGTTTCATTGTTCGGTCTATAAGTTACATTTCATGGTGATATTCCAGCCTGTTGTCATTCCCAGCAGTGTTTCTGTAATTGAACCTGGGCTCATTTGCATCACCTCCTCATCCCAAGTCATTACATATTGCCGCTTTGTCAGTAGCCTTTTACGTCTAAGTATTACAGGCTAGGCATCCTTCTGCATCTGTTGTTGACATCCCAGGATGCCACTACCAACGCCGGCATGTCAACAAAAGCATGTAGTTAGGTTTAGAAAAAAACATCATGGTTTCTCTCTACATTCACATGGGAAGCTAACACCAGGCTCCTGGGTGAAAGTCCAGGGTTTGTTGGTCCCACCCACCCTATGGGGACTTTCTCGCTTCTTATATTAGTCATTACTGGCAGCATTTCAATCTGATACCGTCTAGCAGCATGATACCACTGTGACAGGTATTGTCCGGCTGTGTTAAGAACTGACACCGCCCGTCCACGTATCATAGCGCAGCAAGAGGTGGCCTTTTGCGCCAGGTGTGTGATGCCGAAACAGCTGTCAAAGCGGCAGGTTTTCAGTGTCTCTGAAAAGAGAACAGGCTGGTATTTCACTGGTGTTTTTGATGGTTTTGAGCCTGAACCGAACCAAACCTTCACCACAGCGTTGTTGAGAAACGTAAAGTTCGTATATATCCGCAACAAAATAATGTGCAAATGTCACTTAGTATGTAACACGAATTTCAAAAAACCTTCAATGCAAACATTTCTTCTGGTGATTTTTTTGCACATAATCAAATAGTTTTGTTGCCTAAACCTGAAGTAGTTTTGGTGACAAAACCTACATTTCTTGTGACACTGATCTTTTTTTGAAAATACACTATGCTTGTAACAAGCACAAATTATGCGTCCATGTCCCAGAGAGTCCAAAACTGACGCTATAGGGGTACTTAGAGCGCCATAGTTTGAAGTATAGGGCCATTGGCCATTTTACCAGTTGGGAGTGAGAACATGTTAGATATTCTTTTCTTTAAATAATGAATAGTTGTATTTCCTTGTGGGAACCAGGAACTCCCAGAGGTATGGATAAATTGTGATCATCTCAGTTTCAGTTTCAGGCTCAGCTTGCTTATTGTAATAGCCTACTGATGACAGTTTGCATTAAAAACAGACCTGTTCAGGAGTCCATATTGAAAGGTTTTATCTATTAACCTAATCTATTAACTCTATTTCTCTCCCTATATACTTTTTTTTCAATCCAAACCATGCCCTTATCAATCATCTATCCATCTCATCTTGCTGTCTTCACAGGCCAGAGATACTTCCAGTGCATTTACGTCCCTGGTAAAAATGCACAGTACCCCTTGCGACCTTTCACCCCGCCCATGTCCCCCGCCATGATTACCCCTGCAATCAGGTCCATGATGGAGCAGCAGCAGAGAGCAGCAAGGGCGGCGGGACAATAGGACAACCTGAACTCTCACCTCATTTCTGATAGCACTACATCTCCCAGTCCAGCAGGGGGAGACATTTTAAATCTGTGGAATTCTTAAATCCTGAGGAAAAAACAGACACAGTTAAGAGTGGACAGAATGATTTTGTCTTTAATTTATTTATGTACATATTTTCTCTCTATGTGGTTGAGCTCCTGGGGTTTCTGATGATATTCCCCATTTTCCTCACAGCTGATAGTTGTCACCGTCACGCTTTGCTTGTGCCTTACAATGTCACAAATCTCCAATCAAGGAAGCATTGTATAAATATTCATAACTATGTATAATGTACATAAGGATTATATTAGTAATTTAGGCTGAAATAAACATAAACATCTTTAGCATGTTGTTTATATTAGTTTACTTTTTCAGTCTACTTTAAAATAAGGTTTCCATGGTACCATATTTTGTTAAATTTAATATTTATAATTTAAGGCATTTGCACTGACAAACAATTGTTAACAGTAAAAAAGCACATATTTATTCTGTTTTAAAATATACAAGAAAAAAACTGATAATACTCAAACAAAATTATTAATAAATACAATCTGAGGCAGTATTTTGCATCAAATATTACAAAAAAATAAATCAGGAAACTTAAAAAAAAAAAAGCAACAAAAAGAAAATCTACCATTTTGTTTTTGGATTTTGAATGGGATTAAATATTACTTGAAAGACATGTCACATATTTTTAGTTGTTTTGGTTTTTTTTTTTACTTTGAGAGCCGTTATCAACAGCTTGCATCCTCTTGTTTTTAATCACAGATTTAAATCTTGCGTACTGTAACACAACCAGGTGTTTTTTGCTGCTTCGCTTCATCTGCAACAGATTAGCATGCAAATGATTGGAGGGTCAAACCCCAGGAGCTCCCACATTTGATCCAAGCAGCCTCCTTGTCTCTGATCGCGAGCCTCATCAACATGTTAAATGTTGCCGAGTGATTAATAAAGATGAGACATTTTCTTCTCAGATGACCTGATATCATACAGGAGTGAAGAGGAAGGTGAGCTCATTATGTACAACATGCTTGATTTAAATTAAAGGCACAACACTTTAGTTTAAAGAGATGTTTCGACACGTTTAATGTATTTGTTGGATGTTTTTCATTCCCAGACACTGACATGTTTGTATTAAAAGGTTGCTCATTTAAAAATGTTCTTAACTTCAAACAGGTGCAAATAAGGGCTTGAAGTTTACAATACATGGTCCCCTCTTATAATACTAATACTCATTTAATGCTTGAATACTTTTAGTTTTATAAAATGCCATTTATTTCTATTTCCCAGTCTTTAAACCTGAATTGGTCCTTGGTGACAAGCCAGCTTTGTTCTTACGAATGAAGTGCAGTTGATGGAATCAGCTTGTTCAGAGACAGGGAGTCTGCACAGGACGACTTTGATGTGACCAACTAATGAGACGCTGTGATGTCTGCTACAGTGGATAAATGTCATGTTAACCATCAGCTTATTAACAAAGCCTGATACATTGTCATATTTTCAGTTACCTCACTTGCTCTGGTTTTGCACCTTCACAACAACGCTGCCTTGTTGTCGCTGCAAAACTGTTGCTGAGCATTATCGGCAATTTGCTGCTGTCTTACTGAATGAAAACCTTGACTACAAAGAACCAAAAGGGTGTCTCACACTGGGCTTAATCCTGGGATAAGACCCATATTAGTCCAGGGCCTGCTGTGGTGTTCGCCCCAAACAGTTTATTCACACTTACAGTTCCTAAGCTGCAAAATTAATTCCTCAGTGGTTTGCAGTGTGAGGCACTTGCCCTATTGTAGTGGTGACTTACAGATTAACGCCTTGTGGACCGACTAATCCTAACTGTATTGCAGGTCTATCCACACCTTTTTCAGGGTTGTCCCCTATAAAGTCTTAAGGTGTGTTCAGACTGAGCCCAAAGCTGATTTCAGAAGCAATGCAAATGCAAACAAAATCAGTGGAAAGATGTGAGTGGATGTGAAGAGTTGCAGATTCAGTCTAAGTAACGCAAATGCTGAAATGCTTCCATTCGAGCAAAAAATGTGCACTTATCCTGCAGCTGTGTGACTCAGCTGCAGAGACAATAAGACAAACTGAGGGGAAAATAAGAGAGAACTGGAGTTCCTGTTATGGTAATGTTGCTACCAAGCTAACAGCAACAGCCCGTAGAGTTTGTCAATGGGTATTCAAGGCAACTAATTGCGCAATAAAGTGGGGGAAAATGCTTCGTGCTCACTCTGAATGCATCTTTTAAGTCACTGGTGTGAATCCGGGTTGGAACCAAAGCAATCTCACCTAGCTGTTTGCTGTTAGCGTACTGATTTTTGAGTGTGAATATTTAACCTGAGGCTTGATGTAAACTCTGGGTTAATGAGTCCAAGTGTGAAATGAGGTTAAGCTAGCCCTGGGCTGCTTTTTGTTGCCCCTGCAGGGTTTAGGTCAACAGGCCTGAAAATGTAAGTGTGAAGAGTCCTCATGTTTCATGGCCAAATGAGATCTGACAACCTTTTACAGTGGCGACCCACTGTGAGTATGTGGTTGTTGGAGTGGCATTTAAAACACACCTGGCATTGCTGTGCACTTCAGGTGTGTTTGTTTATACAGGAATTATTCTTAAAATGAAACCTATTCCAGTGGGGGGATGCAGTGAGTAGATAGCTGCTCTGGAGGCCCTGAAACGTCAGTTGCACTGCAGCTGCATGATATTAACAGACAGTAATAACACCATGCAGCTGCAGCTGTCTGCTGTAATTATGTTTTTACATCTAATCTAATGTCACTAGGCTGTATACAAGTTTCACAGCACGGGGTTTACCCTTGACTCCATCTGTGATCACGTTTGAAATATAGGTACATATGTTTGTGTAATGATGTTAAGAGTGCGTTTTTTTTTCCCTGCATGTTGTTACTGCACTGCAGCAGTTGTGAATGGGTACAGCATGTACACTTGAAGCAAAAAAACATCACTTATCAGTATGTTTCACTTTGATTTTTTAGTAGTTTCAACCATTTGTTGATCTATTTTTCTGCAGAAACATTTCGACCTGAGTTTCCCATATTTGTTGGTCAGTATTTTCCCATATATCACAGTGTAATGCTCTAAAAATCAATACTTTGATCAGCTCAGACGCACTACTTGGCATTAAAGGTTTTCTATGGAGTTTTTGACCACTAGTGGTGCTGTAGAGCAAGGTTGTTTTGAGGAGCAGGTCCACGAGGACGAAACACAACGCAGATAAACTTCAGCTTTAAACCTTTTAAAGTTGATGTATTGAAGCTAACATTTTGGGACATGCTTACCTCGGAAATGTCTGGTTACCCGAGTAACTCTCGCTCCCTGGGTACTGAGTGAAGTTCAAACTCCTCAGGTGCTTGCTGGGCTTTTCCTTTCAAAAACAGGCAATACTTTTAAATGACAGCGGCGATAAATGCTTTGCGATATCAATTCATTTCACATAATTCCCATTACTTACGGTTGGTGGTAATTTACTGCAACATTAGCATATCAGACATGACGGGTTTTTTTTCGAGCATGAAGGTCAGTTTAGAAACATGACCTGTTCAGAGAATTAAACAGCAAGCAACGATAAAACATGATCTAATAAATAAATTGGATTTGAGCATAAGATTTGCAGTAGAGCATATGTTGTTAAGTTAATTTGAGGCCAACATGCGTAATGGAGTGATACTATTCCAATCAACTCACTGTGTTTGCTTCGTTAACTCACTAAAATGGTGTACACGTGTAAAACGAGGGTAACCACACTGAACCCCTACTGTAAGGAGAATTCAGGGGATTTCAAACCAGGTTTATGCCATGTGTGAACCCAGGAGAACAAAGAGGAACTGCATTTAAGTTTTACACTTGATGCAGTATCTGCATTTTCAGAGTAATAGTTTAAAAAACCTTTGAAATGAAAGATTTTAAAATATTTTCAGAGGTGTTACTGAATGTCATGGCTTTGTTTTTGTGAATGGGCTCGACAGGATTAGTTTCAGGTCAGTGGGAAATATGAATGTGTTGCAATAAGAGCAGATTAATTGCTGAGGACGAGCGATTGTTAATGTTGTTTTAGGAGAATTTTTATCCACTGAACAAGTATGGTGTGAGGTTGTTTGGTTCTTTTAGAACAATCACTTATTTTGTTAACGAGTTCTGATGTAATTTGCATGATGGTGTAATTCACACAAGCATCACTCTCCAGTGTAAAATACACATCAACCAACAGTCAGTCAGAAGCTGTATAAAGACTGTAGATAATATTTATTTTATTTGTTGCACTCCAGAGATTGATCACCTCGTTAGGTCTCACACTGAAAGACATTGAATTCACACACTGGTCTGCTCAGAAAAAAAAAAAAAAAAAAAGTAATTTGTTTCAATTAAAGAGGATATTTCTGTGTTGTTGAATATCATCAGACTTCAATGTGGGCAATAATTTTAACAGTGTTCCCTAACGAGACAGAATAAACTACCTGTTGCATGTATGATAAAGCAGAGGTGTATGATGTAATCACATGAGAAGGCTAGCAGCCTGACTCAATCACTGTTTTTAGACATTTCAGGAGCCACTTAAATATCACAAGTGACATTTTAGGCACTTAAGGGACTCTACTGAGGATGTCTGCTGTGGTTACATGTAGAATACACTCACCAAAATGCATTTTGTGGGTCATCATTTCAATAAATATTTGCAGAAATTTGCAAGGCCATTATTGTGTCTTTCTTTATGTTTCCCTCAAGCTGGAATGATACGAGAAAGACTGTTGTTATGGGGACACAAAAGGACACATACTGGGATAATAACAAATTAAAACCCACCTGCTGTATGAGGACATAAATAATCTGCTCCGAGATACAAACACACACTGAGCTGACTTTGCCAGATATGTTTGGAAGACACATAATTGCTGCCTGGATTACATTTTTATCAGCATAGGGATGAAATGGTAATGTTAACTGCATCCACAAGCAGCTGTTTTTAATCTGATTTCCCTACAATAAGTAAACAAGTGTGTCTTCACAGTAGTCGTGACCACATACACACATGAATTCATGACGCATGCACACACACCCTCACATATGCTTGTCACTTATCCAATAATGCCTCCATATGACAATCATTTCATGAGTTATGAAAGGGGATGTGGCAAAATGGTGTGTGTGTCTTTGTGTGTATGTCTGTCTATCTGTGTGTGTGTTGTTACAAAGTGCGGTCATGTTACGTAGGCAACTTTTACTGCACTCAGCCTTTTATTGGCATGAACACAAACACACACTCTCAGGGTAAAGTTGTGATGCACAGGGAAAACTAGCTTCTTAGCTAATGTGAGTTAGGTTGCTAATAAATACCAAACAGCAACCTCCAGGGATGACGAGTGAAGCCAATGCCGAAGTGCCAAAAACTGCAGTTCGTTGAATGGCCACTTGAGGCAGGCTCCAAAAGCCTGTCAATCCCCATAGACCCCTATGTTAAAATGCTCAACTTTACAGCAGCAGGAGCAGCCAACACCACAGGGCTAGCCAAAGTAGTGTAGCTGGGTCCATGTCATTGGTTCGACAGCCCAATGATTCGACATCCCATTAGTCCGACTGTCCGCGGTGCTGAACGGCTCGCGGCGGGCATATGGTGCGCCGCGACTGGCTTGAGGCGGAGCAGGTTCACAGTTTATGAGTTTGTCACTTTCTTTTTCATTTTAACCCACACCATGATCTTTTCCTGACACTAACCAAGTGGTTTTTGTGCCTAAACCTAACCAGACCTTAACCACAGGGCATCATGATGATTTCAGAACGGACTTCGGAACAATGAGTTTAATATGGTCGGAACAATGGGCTGTCGAACCAATGAGCTGTCGAACCAATGGGCAGATCCCGTGTAGCTTGTTAGCCTAGCTTGTTAGCCTTAGCTAACTTAGCAGCTTCGAGCGAGGTGGGCAACCAAGCTTCATTTGGCCCACCTCTTTGCCCATTTTTGATTGGCCGGGAGTTGGGCAGAGTCAGGCACTGCGAAGATGGCAATGGCCAGAGCCGCCTACTTTGAGCTTCAAACCCGCGCCTCAGAAACCAATGGGTGACGTCACAGTGACTACGTCCATATTTTTATACTGTATTTGATAAATACTGACAAATGTGATTTTTTTTCTGTTTTCTTACGTTCCATGTTTGTGTCCCAACACACTGCCAGCCAGGCAGCATCACTAAAGTGGACCGGTTTCATGGCCAATATCTTACAATATTAGCTGGTTAAACACACAACAATTAACGTCTCCATTCACACTTCTTTGCTAGTGGTTGATGCTGTGATTTCGACAGCCCACCAATGTTGAACTCCATGCAATGTTAAGATGCAAATTTGCTTTGCCGCTGGAATCAAATATTTTATCTGCCTCTGCACTGAAATGAACGGGAGGCAAATATCCATCCGTGTTAATTTTGTTTGTGTGTGACTGTACATAGACAGACACATATTTGACCTATACGCCAAATGTCCGCCTCTCAGGGCAAAAACTGCGGCAGCCAAAGGTTGGGGAAATATTTGTGGACTGACTGACCGAGCCATAGAGCTCCTGGTTGCAGTTAAATACTGTATACAGAGACAACAAAAAGCTGATCTGGACCCTGAGACATGATTTGAATCCTCAAAGCCATATGTTTTTGTGCCCCCAATGTGCCAACCACCTCTTTATCCTTATTGTGTGACACAAAACGCTGCTAATGACCACACTCTGGGCAGCAACACTCCAAAAGATATTAGCAAATGCAAATTATGTACTTGTGGTACAGGGACATGTCTCCCCATAAATTAAACCCATGTTCAAATTAGTTTTTGTATTAATTATTGCAGATTTTGCTCTTAAGATCACACTTTGTTAAAACAAAAAATCCCAGGCAGAAAAAAAGGGATTTAAGTCGACAACAATCACAGCAGCCACACTATCGAGTCCTCTTTGCTGGGAATCTCTCTGTTAGAGTGAGCTTTCAGAATGAAGCTTTAAGTGTCTGAATTGCTTCAATATTTCAAGTATATAGTTATGATAATGAAAGCAAAGAATTACCCTCCATGAAGATCTACACTTAAATCATAAAAGAAAGTGCCCCTTGATTTCAAAATGCTCCACTTTCAGTTCAGTGATTGAAGCTTCTCCTTTGTATTTTTGCTACGCTGCCAGTTTTCTTTATCGACGCTGCTAAAATGTTCAAGCTCTGACACAAATATCTCATGTTGGCACATTTTACAGGCGTCCAAGTCCCCATAGGCCAACAACCTTTGGAGATACAGGGCACTTTTTTATCCAATAAAGTGCAGATTATTGGTGATTTGATTTCTTTTTAATTTGAGTCTTGAGAAATTTTGTACAATTGTACTACAACATTTCTAATACCAGAAGTCAGAAGTACTTTACATACATAATGTTTGCTGCATAGCTGCTGCTACAAGTCTGTCCTGTCCTCAAGAACATCATCTGCTTTCCTCACCCAGTGGAGAGTGTGTTGAAGCTTTCAGCCTAAATGAGCACGCTCATGTCTTTGTTCCTGTTCATGTTGTCTGTTACTGCTGCTTCACTCAGGAAACAGGTCACAGTCTTGATGACTGATTCCCTGCAGATGCAGTCTGAATTGTCCAAACCCTGGTGCCAAACACTGCATCGTTATCAAGGGACAGTAAGAACTGAAGCGGTGAGACTTACCTGAAGACACAAAAATAAGAGGAATGTGAGAAAATCTACATGTGTCCATATTTATTTTGCTCGTTTTACATGATGCATTTCAGCAAATTGTCTTTGAGGACATTTATACATTTAACACCTGCTAAACTGAACAGTTTTTTCGCTCCTATAATATACTGGCTTTCCATGATAACTTCACAATTCAGTTTTGAGTTTGGTCTCCCTACAGCTCCTACTGTAACTATACAATCAAAGAACAGTGATATGAAGATTAATTAAATATATCACCAACAGAAAGGTATGCATTCATTTTCAGGAAGTTATCAATCATTTAAAAAAACAAAGAAGTTCATTCATTGTCCAAATCCTCAAAGCACATATACTTAATGATAAGAAGCAATACATTAGGTTTGTAATGACGAGGTGGCTTTGGCTGAGATAAATCAAACATCAGTCCAAGTCAGTGAGAAATGAATTATCTTAGTCCAAGAAAATAAATCATTAGACAGACAGCAGTACTTTAACAAAGCTTATGATGGAGCTTGATTCCATAATGATGCACTATTGTGAACAAAACACTGATTAAATTAATTTTTCCTTGTCAGAAATGATTTGCAGAGCTGGAGTCTTTTTTAATTACCTCTCTTTGGAACAAAACTCTTGATGTAAACATTAAAATACTAACTGATTTATAGAATGCATGTTCATTGGTGCCAGTTTTACATATCTGTCAATGTGAAAAACAAAAGTTATGTTAATCAGTGTGGTTTAGTTTTGCCTGTCAAACTCAGAGGACATTGACATCACTGAAACTGGACATGGAGGTCAACTTTTTCCCTTTTTATAGACTTTAAGTGCCAAATATATGAACCAGACAAACAACACATGTATCTCAGGTAAAGGAGTCTCTGCACATGTTTTCCATGACTATAATTGATGGCAATGTCTTCTACAATCTGCCAATCTGTCATGATTACCTTTTTAATTGTGTTCAAATTCTGTCCTGATCTGTCTGCTGACTATATTTGGCACCATCAGTCTCCTTAATATTGAGTGTAGTTGTTTAAAGTAATAACTAAACATACCATGAAAAAAGTAAACATTTTAAATACTGTATTTTAGTCAATGTGTTAAAGAGCATGCACATCCAAAAACAAATCAAAGACGAGATGTAATTCCTGCTCACTGTTTTTCTCCCACACAAAGCAATTTCGTCTCACCGACAGGATATCATGTTTAGAGCTACAGTACAGACAGGAGAAGCTGAGAAAGTTTCAGTCAAAAAACATGTTTCCAACCACCTGTTTTAAAGCACATTTTAAATCTGTGCACTACAAAAAAAGATAAAAAGAATCACTTGAGAAAACACAAATAAGTTTTTACGCTTGGATGAGATGGAAATTTGGTGTATAAATAAAATTGAAATGTGCGAAAATGTAATGGAAACAGACTAATGATGTACATGAAGGGCGTGATTTTTTTCTCATGGAAGAAAATTGCAAAAGACAAAAACAGATCTGTGTGGACTGGAGTAATGAGGAGACTGTAACCTTCATCAAATAAATAGATAAAATAAATATAAATTCCATACTTCCATTATGTCTTCGTCTGCAGTAGTTTAATTAGTGCCACCAACTGCTTATTTTAATATGCTCAGCTCCAAACATTTGCATAACCATTGTGGAAAGAAACATACATTTGTTTGCATTTGGTTTAAATTTGTGCTACATTTAGATGGAGACTAAAGAAATGCTCGTCTCGTATGTAACTTTTAGTGTTTTAGTTTGAATGTTAGTAACTTTTATTTCAGTGATCAGTGTGCCATGTTGGTCGGTATGTCAATCGTAGGTTTTCTGTGTTGCTTTTAGTCTGAAGTTAAGCACAATACTGGAACACCATGTGACAATCTTATAGCTGAATGTAGAAATTAGCGTAGTAGTGCTGTCAGATGCAATACCTCTATATGCCACTAGGTGCTGGCTCCAATAGCACTCCGACCATATTGAAAGTAACAGGAAAACTCAACTCAACTCAACACATTCTCTCTGTTTTTCAAGGTGAAGTCTCCAAAGTAATTTCACATCTTATGCCTTTGTTGACGCAAACTCACTGTTACATAATGAAATTACTAAGGCTGAAAGCAGGCTGTCTTTGGGGGGTTTGATAGATACATGTAGGTGTTTGAGGTTATCACGCAGCTTGCTCACCACAGAAAATATGGATTTTCTGGCCCCAAATAGCCGACCGGGGCCCGTCTCACAAAAGCGATTTGCGAGCACTGCTCATGGTGAACTGCAACAGTGACAGCATCATATTACACAAATGTTTGTCACTTGCAAACTGTAGATAAATTTGTCTGTCAGGGCTCTTACGCACGTATGCATGTGTCTCATGTATGGTGTTCATTTTGACAAGTGAAGCAGGTCAATAAAAATGGAAGCATCATGCTCCCTTAATGTTTCTCCACAGTCTGTCTGTCACTGTGAGACCTTATTTTGCATGGGAGAAAAACAGTATGCAGGCTCTACATTTGCTATCATGTAAGCTGGTGTGAAAAACTAATGACAATATGACAGTGTTGTTTAGCTGAATAAATACCATGTTAGCTCACTTTGATCTGACATTATGCAAATCTTAAGTATTGGTGACAGAAATGCAGCGTTTCCAGTCAAAACCAGCCCAGAAATGATTCATTTGTGTTCACTTTTGTTGCAAAGGTTGAATCAAAATTTTAGAAAATCACTGAGGACCTCCAGGCGTCTTCCATGGTGGCTTTTAAAAATGTGAAAGCCATCGATACGTCACTACTGATCAGTCACGATAGGTTTGTAAAAATGTATTCAGCAACACCTTGATCCAAGCTCAGCAGGAAAGACGTAACAACAACACGGAAAGAACATTCGAAATGCTGAATTCCTTGAAAATAAAAAAACAGATTCTAACTTCATTATTCTGTTTACAATTCATACAACATATACCAATCTGTCACCTGTGTAATAAACAAGGTAGATAGCAACTTTAATAAAATACTGACAAAGGAAAAAAAAAACATTTTAAAAATCTTAAATGTGTGGCAAAGCGCAAAGCGTCACCCGATAAAGTATATTTGTAATAAAATGTAAATCTTTACCTGTGTGTTACTGTGTTTAAGTTTTTCTACATACAATAAGTTTTACAACAGAACAAAGCAGCCTCTGATACCAACCTCTAATACTTTAACCTTAAAAATAACCAGTGAACCTGCAGGATGTTCTGTGTGAGAGTCAGTTTTGCTATATTCAAGCAGTATACAGATGTTTATTTCATGTAAACTTTGTATCCTAACAACTGGAAGCATCTACAGTGGCTGTGTGTGTATGTGTGTGTGTGTCCCTGTTTACGGTACTCATCTGTTTTTTCCCTTTACATCCTCGACTGACATGAAGCTGCGAAAGCTCAACTGAGTCCTGAATTTGCGGCCTCTTTGTCTGTATGCGTGTTGTAAGTGTGAAAAATATACCTCAGATATCTACTAATGCACGGAAATCATTCTAAAACACTTGATGAACATTTTCTGGTTTCACGTTAGACCCACAGTTTATTACAGTCTCTCTGATGTGCACAAAACTGGCAGTTCTACATTTCCCCTAAAGTTTCTGACGGAAATGGGTACAACAACCTCTCTAATGTGTGATCATCGTCTAAAGTGGCTGAAACGTTACAGCATTTGTTCATTTATTACAAAATATGAGTAAGAGTTGACAAAAATGTTAATCTTAATGATGTTTAAGGGAAGCAACACAGGTTTTAATACAGTTCCATTTGAGTTGACGTGATACTGATGAAGTTTTGGATTGAAGATAGCTGATTCTTTTTGCGGTCAATACTCTGAAAATTCAATCATATCGAGATAATTCTGCAAAACCCGGTTCGGGAGTAATATTCTCAAAACATTTAAAGGTGTTTTAAACATCCTAAAATTATAGCTCCTGAATATGTGGTAACGGTCAGGCAACTAAAACAACTTGCTGAATGTAAGGGAAAAAAAGTCTACGTTACTTGTTAGTGGAATCTGTCTGAGACAGGATGCAAACTCAGGTGTGTTGCATGAAACCAGATGTGCTACACACGCTTAAGTTTTACCTTACTTAATAAAGGGTTCGCTACTCCCTGAACTGGATGTGTGACAGTACTGCTCATTGTTGCCATCATCTATCTAACCTTCCCTCTGCAGTTTCGTCATTGGTATAAGTGTTCCACATGGATCATCACCTCCTGAAGATGGCAACTTTTTATCTGGGATATGCAGCGTTTAGCAAAATATCATGTATGCAACCATATTTTTATGGGGTTCTCATCTTGAATTTTAATAAGGGGAACCATCAAAAAGTTGTCTAAAGAGTTTTCAGCCAACTGATCAAGCAACAGTCTTCATCATCGACAAAATCGATGGTTGTCGTTGGCTAGAAATGACACGCTTGTTTTGTTCTTCTTTGTTTAAAAAATTGCTACAAACTTGAAGTGAATAATCTGCTCTTCTTGGTTCCACGCCATTGTTATGTCGACCCATTGTTCGGAAACCCTATAGTCAGGAAAATGACCCACTGGACTTAAAGCCAATTGTCTGACAGCCCATTATCTTGAAAACAAATGCTTATTGTTCTGAAAATACAAACTCTCCCTGCAATTAGAAACATTCATGGCCTGCAATCGGTCGGCCCTGGTGTGATATTTCTTTCTGCTATGGTCAAGGCATGACCCACCCTACCTCTGCCCCTGACTGGCTAACCCTCATACTATGAGACTAGACCTAAGGCCTAGACCTAACCAACCCAACCAAGGAGCAAAGAGCATTAGTCATTCAGAGGCAGAGTAGGGCAGGTCATGGTTCGCTACACTATGAAAAACAATTGGCAGCAGAAGGGTCCAATGACATCATCTTGCATTATAATTAGCCATGTGCTTCGGTTAGGGAGTTGGGATAACAGGCTATGAGTCAATGGGCCTTTTAGTTCAACGGAACACTATTTGGATTACTGAGGTTTTGTTGTCGGTATAACAGGCGGTCCCCACACTGTTATCATTATAAACTCCCCATATGCTGTGGGAGAACAGAAAGGTTTAGCAACGGTGACTTCGGGAACATTGCCTCAGAGAAGGGTCAATTACTAATGAGAATTCAAAATTATAATCAGTCAGACAGTTTCCCAGACTGTTTTCTGTAGGCACTGTCTGCTCTCTCTCTGGACTGACTGATCACATATTAAATAAAAATATCACCAGCACGTGCAGCAGATAGTTATCTACCGGGGTGGAACCAGACAGATCACACTGAGGCCGCAGTCTAACTCGACTCTGCACCGAGTAGAGCCTCTGAGCTGTTGTAAGTGGGGTTGACATGTCATGTACGCTGGTGTGATAGTTTAACATTCCAGCTGTCTGCTCTCGTTGCAGCCGGCCACCTCACACTTCCTGCCTGCCGGCCTTTCTGCGATCTGCTCGGCTGTCTGCTTGCCAGCCTGACTTGCTTTCCCTCTGCTGCCCTGCTCTGCCAGTCAGAGTCACAGTCTTCCTGTCTGCCACTCAGTTGTCATACCTTTTGCACTTCTCGACATAAGCCTGTATGTGAATTGCTGATTTGGAAGAGCCTGAACTACGGTATGTCAAACAACTTCAGCTGGTGCCAGTTTCATCTGAAGAAGTATTTTTGGGAAGTCAGCATAGCATACAAACAGATGAAGTGTTGTGTTTGTGTCAGTTTAAATATCTACACTGCAGCAGCAGCAGCTTGTCTAACTGCAGAATGTAAATAAAATACTGTAAATACAATAAAATACTGTAATCTAAATATGTAAAATAACGCTTTTCTGAGATAAAACTAAACAAGGATCTCTGTAGCCTATTTACTGCAAATCACTTTAAGCACACTTACTGCCAGTCATGGTCACACTACTGCCAACTTCAGTACTGCCTGAGATAGATCATTTATCACTGTGTGTCTTTATTAGCTTGTAAAAGTTAAATTACTCTGCAGGTCTGGTGCGTTTACATGCTGTCAGGAAGCTCTCACGTTTGAGACTTAAAGCTGCCCTGTGGAGTTTTCTCGTAAACATGCAAAAGTTATGTTTACATTCAATGTTTCTCACCGAAAACACACTGTTTGAACCACAGATGTATAAAGAGAACTGGATACAGTGTCCAAGGAGGGCTATTCATTCCTATGGAAGTTGCTCAGTGGCGCATGAGGCCAAAAAAGTTCAACTTCCCAGGTGTAGAATTATCTGAAACTTTTGCATCGTTGGGCCCAGAGAGCAAGTGCACTGGAGATTTCTGACGGCCAAGTGGCTAACTTCCTGTTTAGCGCTCTGCTAACTTGAATGGGGATAAAAGGACTCAATCGTGCGGCTCTACTAGACTTTCAAAATATCATCAGACTGAATGAATAAAATTAAGAGAGTGACATGAGTTGTTTCACAGGGGTTGTGATGCTGAAAATAAATTATCCACTGATTTCGCACACTGAGTCCAACTGTTTTCATCCGAAATTGGCGCACGTCTAAAAATAAATACGACTTCATGTTGTGTGAATCATGTTTACACACTGAGTCTGATAATCCATAATCAAAATCTTTGTAACAGGTTTCTGTGTTTTTTTTCGCATCCGTCAGAAGCCTTGTTTGGCGCACAGAATCATTTCATAACTCAGATAGCTACCTTCAATAGGTCAGATAGTAATATTCAGGGAGGGAGTGGCGACAGCCAGGTAAATAACTCAAGTGTGGAGAACCAAAGGTGGAAATGTGTCTTTTCATTTTGTCACGTATTGCGAATTTCTGAAATAAATAGAACATTAAAATGCATTAGAATCAGTGTGAAAGGTTTCTGTGCGTAATGACTTTTTTTGGGATGACGGATTGAAAAAATGCATCTGATAAAACGGACTCAGTGTGCAAAGACCTTAACTCTGTAGTAAAAAGCCTCTTTTGGGCCCAATGGCATCCAATGACAGATTTGAAAGTTATAGTTACCTGTAGTTACACGGTTTGGCCATTATGTCAAATAGGCTTTAATACCGGCGCACTTCTTGGGGACCTGGTTTGAACCTTCCTTGTAAAACATTTGCAAAGCCGATAATTTGTAATTTTTTACGTTGTGCACTGCGTACGACATTGTTTGCTAGCTAGCCGTCTTCTTCTTTGCCTTTGATGGTGCATTACTACGCCTCTTTTTGTGTTAGCTTTGCAACTGCTGATTTGTGGAATGACGTGAAACTAATGGTAGGAGCGTGAATCACATGCTCTGATACAAACAACCCATTTAAAACAACATTGCTCCATAGCCCCACTAGTGGCCATGAACTCCACAGGGCACCTTTAAGAGTCTGCTGCCAAAGAGCACTTCCTCATGTAGTTACTGAAAAACACGCTGAAGACAAAAAAGCAAAATTGTGAATTACTGAATTCTTTTCTTTTTTTAATCACATGATAGCACAGAGATCTTCAATCAAATCTGTAAATTAATGGTTAAATGTTAGATATGGTAAAAGCTCAGGAGAAAGCTAATAAGTGGACCTTGAGTTAAGATTATAAACTAATATTAATACTGATTAAAATAGCTTTTAGCTGCATAATGAAACACCAATAATGTACTGAAATCATGAGTAAGATTTATAGTAAAACATGCAAAAAATGGTGAAAAACGGTGCAGTCCTTTAACGCGTCTCGAAATCTTATAATACTGACATGTTGAGAACAGATACTGTGGTGATGCTCGGCCATTTTAGATGTAAGATTATTATTGCCAGAAATATACAGTAACAAATGTGTCACAAGGTCACTGGACAGGGTTTCCTTACTCTGCTTTTATAAAAATTAAATTTAGGTTTATTTATTTGTCTGGCTTGACATCTATTAACTTCTCAAAATATATCTTTTGGTCATCTTCAGCCAAACGTAATGATGTGAGTCACTGTTTAAAAAGAGTCTGCAGCTTAGTGTTTTCCTAATGGCAGAAGAAATACTGTACTCTGCAACATATGGGTCAGAAAAGGAGGAGAAAAAAAAATCCTACAGCCCACTCTTAGCGTAAAGGGGGGTTTGCTTTTCCAAGAGATAACTGGAGCGAGGTCGAGTTCAGTTCAGACGTTATTTTCACAGGAAAGACACCCATAACCTCCCAGTAAGCTCCCAGTAAACCCAGTGCCTGCCTGCCTGCCTGTCTGCCAGTTTTGTGTCCAGGAGGTTGAACAAGCTCGTTATCGTCACTAATCCTGAGCTGTACTTCTTGTTTTCTTCAAATTACTGTACAAAGAAGAAAAACACTGCAGCTCGGGAACTGTGGCCCCAAGCCCTCTTTGAGAAATGATCTCCAGTTTTTCACCTTTATACTACACTACTGTAGGAAACACTGTTTTCACACGCATGTGGCACCTTCACAACTCTTTCTCTTTATGTTTGTTCTACTTCCCTGCTCCACACTGAGGGGGCTGGATTGTTTAAAGATGTTATTTTACAGTTTTTTGGAATTGGCACTTGACAAATAACTAAATAAATAAATATAGAACACCATCAGTAGCTCTTAGGATGCCCATTGCTTGCGAGGAAACGTCCGCCTCGTGTCTGGCTCGTTCGTCTGCCTCCCGTTAGCTCATTTTGATTTTGCCTCAAGTTCAAGACAAACACAAATCCAACAGCAGCAGCAGCAGCAGCGTTTTCTGGAGGAAGGTGTTTTCAGGGCGGGCGTGTCGCTTACAGTAGGTGCACAGGTAAGTCAGTGTGTTTGTGTGTGTAAATACTGATTATGCTTTCGAGCTGTTATTGAATGTGTGGATTAGTCCAGCGAGAGCAGCGGCTGCATGTTGTCCTCTTCACTCTTGACTTTGTCTGGTCGTTTCAGGACGCCTGGTTCCACCACAGACTGAGACCTGCATGGGAACACAACAGAAGATGATCAGTGCCAGCATGTCCTTCAGGTCCTCTGAGATTCTAAAAACTGGGACCAGACCTGCGATGCAGGTCAGACCGGCTCCAATTGTATTAGCGTGAAAATAAACTTAAAGTCCCTCGCCAGACACATTGTAAAGTATGTAGGGACTGGAAGCTGATCTATTTTTTCCCCCAGTTAGTGGTGTAGGGATTATTTTGTAGGCCAAGAAGGCAGCTAACATTGTCCTGGTTCCCTCAACAAAAAGCCATTGGATTTTGGGTTACTGCAAAAAATAAGCTCTGTGCTAGTTTATGATACTTAAGCAAGATAATCTTTACAAATAAACACCACTTTTTATGATTTTTAACATTTAAATGCAACCACCAGAAGTAAAAAGCTAACACCAGGCTTTAATACCACAACTACATGGTTTAACATTGCTACCATATGAAGCTGTAAGGCTGTGTTCGGTCTGGTTTGGCATCATGAAGCTCTCACTTAGCCACTTGTTAGCAACCATCTTTTTTAAGAAACATGAAGGCTTTAGAATTCAGGAGTCGGGTATTTACTGACATATTTTATGTCATAGAAAAAAATGTTAAAGTCTCTTAATTTTGTGTTAACCACAGACCCTATTTCAAGCATCTAACTAAAAACCCATTGACTTTACGAAAAGGAAACTGGGAGTGCTAAGATGCTAACTCATATCTGGGTTTTAAGACTCTTTCCTGCCAACCCGGTCTTACTCCAGAGTCATCAAAATCCGGTGCTAAGGCAGTGACTTGTGGCATCAGACACCAATGAAAAATGGCATCCTTTAAAGCCGGCATGGTATGTGCCTGGTTGCCATTATAGTTTAATGGCGTCCGGGGACATCAGGGGAAAACACGGTGGGACAAGGACGAAAGTTAAGGCGGTGAAAGTCCAAGCGCAGCGGGCGGGCTGGAGGTGTGGTGGATGAATCCAACAATAACCGACGTTCACCCAGGAAAGTGGTGTTCGCATCCTGTTAGATTCTAAAGCCAAATCCTGCTCTTTTTTCCTAAACCTAACCATGTGTATTTGTTGCCTAAACCTGACCATGTGCGTTAGTTGTGGAAGGAAAAAAACCTCAATTGGCAGTGTTGTACTGACGTATTGTGTTTGTTTTGAAAGAGACTGTATGTAAATGTTAAATTTCCTGTGAAAATGGAAGTGTATTTTGAAAGAAGACAATGCATGTAACAGGCAGAACTTGACACAGTGTCCAAGAACGTCAACAACCAACACACCCGTGGTACCTTTGTATCTGGACGTGGAAAGTCCATGACTAAACTTCAATATGTGACGAGGTCGGAGTGAGAATGTGTTGTTCCTGCACCACTCTTTTGATAAATTCTGCTCTGCCCACCACTGCTGCTTACATCAGCTTTTGTTTTCTGCTTTATTCTCCAGGGCTAGCACAGCGGTAAAAATGAAGTGTGGAGATTGTGGATTTTAATAACTAGATACCAGACTATTCATTCCAATGGAGTTTCTTGTCTGGCGCATATGCCAAAAAAGTTTTCTAGCCTCTGGGGTTTACTTCTGTGGTATGCGGCCCACTGAATATGCGCAGTATTGTCTCTCCTTGCTGGTCTTAACATTGTGAAGATGTCACAGATTTTTAAACTGCTTTTCTGGGCTTGAGGAAAGTTTTACAAATATAAAACCACAATGGCCAAAAAATTAAGAATAGAAAGATTCATAAATGACCTTGTTTGCAGCTCGAGGTGTCCTGTCAACAGTTTTACAGACGTGTCTTTTACAGTCGTGATCTGTGGGGAAAATGCTCTCTGGGCTGCAGGCATTTCTTTTGCTGGAATATCACAAGTAGCCACTGAGAAAAATTTGCTGCAAGGCCTCGTGGAGATAGGTGTAATAGGAGCACAAAGTAGCAGAAAAGTACAAAAGTATAAAGTACAAGTACCTTAAAAATGTAAAAAGTACAGTACTAAATAAGGCAGGTAAAACTGATAAATCATAAGTGCCCTCTAATTGATAATTGGCAGCAGGATTGTGTTGATCTGCAGTGACAGTCCGCTCCCTGAGCTCATGGTGTTGTTTGTCTAAGTGATTTTGAGTGAGTGAGTCAGCTGGTGTCACAGCGTGGTCAGATAATTTACTGTCACAGTGAATCATACTGTGTGGTGGCCTATAGGGGGGAATGATTCTCCATGAAATGTCAAACAAACTCACAGCATTTTTAACAACAGACAAATGTAAGTTTTGATGGCCAATAACTGATTTACTTTATATTATACATATATATTTTTTAAAATCAAGTGGCTATTAGCTTGTTACTGTGTTAAAAGTCTATAGGCCCATGTGAATATTTAATATTCAATGTTAATAAATACTAGAATATTAAATGACAATCAATGCTAATTATATAAACAATAACAGTAAATAATAAAAAGCAATATGTCAAATTATATGACAACATACACAGTATAATAGTTTGATTTTATTTTGTAATATGAGATTTAAGTATTTACTGTATCATTTCTTTATTTTCATTATTAGGATTTTGTCATTTAGCTTTCTGTTTCGTTTGTATCCGATTCATTATTTTCATTGTTTCCTTTTATTAATTAATATTCCAACTCTGGGCAAATACCTGAAGAAATTCCTCACAACAGCTCCTAACTATATTTTGCTATTGTTTTGCTGTCAAATAAATAAATTAATATTAATTCTTTGTCTTCAGTAGAAGATAACAGGTAGTGGGAGGAGTGGAGAAGAAAGGAAAAGCAGTGTGATAAAATCTACACAGCAGCTTCATCATTATCCCACTTGTTTACAATAATTATGCAACAATCACATAATTAGTTTGACAATATATGGATGTTCTGTTGATACATACTGTAGGTAATAAAAGGTTAAAAGTGTTGAGCTGACCTCTTCATTGTTTTTGGGGACAGGTTTTTCTCCAGGTCTCTCTCCAGGTCTTGTACTGACAGGGTGTAGGACTCCGGACAGTAGTCTGTCTCCTCGTCGTAAGCATGGTCCAGCAGCGTTCGTGCCCATGTGCCCATATCGTACGGCGGCATCATCCCACCGAGCTCCGACGGCAAGATCTCAGGATGGATCAGCTGATGGAGGCTGTTCAGGTTGTTGCCATGCATGAAGATCTGTAAAGGGAAAGGAAACAGTAAGACAATTAAGGTTGATGACTTGGTTTAAAATGCTTAAAGGGGAGCCTAAGTTTTAATAATTTTTTGACCACTAGGGGGCAGCGGAAATAAGCGTTCAACACACTGACATGAAATCACCTTTTAAATTGATAAGATGTTGAACTTACTGGCAAATAGTTCACATCCAGCAGTTAATGAGCAACATGGTAATTGCTTTGGAGTTATGTTTGTGTCCAACTGATGAACGAAATTCCAATATTCACTCTCTTTTAGCTCTGCTCTTGGTCTCTACTAGCTGCCAAAAGCTCCAATTTTTTTTACCAGCTCATCTCTAACACTGTCTGCCTGCTGTTTGCTGCTGAGCAGGCAGTGAACAGTCAGCAGTCGTTAATCTAAAGATATCGATTATAGCTGCTTTGATGTAATAACTTATGGCCTCACCCTCTTCCTGGTCTTGTCTTTGAGGAAGGGTCGTATCACGGTGTAGAGAGCGTGGATGTACCAGGGCTGGTTCACAAAGTGGATTCCTCCAAATCTGGCAGGAAAACTGTCCTGTTGGAAAAATACACAAAGCAATATGTGTAAATAGAGGCAAACGAGGATAATCCCATTCAGGTGATCCATGTTTTTTTTTCTTGTTTTTTTTTAGAGGTAAACGTAGAAAAGTGAAATGGTGGATGTTTGCTCCATGTTGATCACAACAACGGGTCGTCTTTTACCCTTGCTGACAGCACAGATGTGCCAACAACTGTTTACACTGCTGATAATGGTTAAAGGGAGTCATGTCTTGTTTTCCTTATTTTCTGTCACATACAGTATCTCTTTATATGATGTTATAGTGTCAGATGTTTATATTAAATGTGGTTTAGTAATTAAGTAAATTTATGGAAAACCCTGATCCCTGTCAGCAAGGGTGTAGCACTAAATTCTGGGCCCTATGCATAAGCAGTCTCTCTGGGCTCCCCGCCCTGCTTCTCTTGCTCGATGTCTCTCTCATGTACCTTTTGAAATATTACTTTTTCAGTCAGTTTGCTTTCTTTGCCTTTCCTTTCTTTTTGGAGCCCAGATTTCCCTTTCTTGGGGAAAGACATGACAGTGTGCGTTGGTGATCCAGCAGCCTAAGTAATCACTCAACTGGATCCAGATGTGTTTAGAGATGAATCCCAGTGCAGGGGCGGACTAAACCATTTTGCGCCTTTACGGGGTGAGAGAGCAGTGTTTTTTTTATCCGCAATTCAGTCTTTCAACTGATTTATAGTTTTAATTTATCTAAATCACTAATTACTTAGACATAAAAAAGTGGAAATAAAACCAAACTTTTCACTCCAGGCTTTTCATGGCACCCCTCCCACTGGGGTCCTGTGTAATCAGTCCCATTTTCCTCCACTACAATGCCCCTGCCTGTGACCAAAAGTCATTGGCATCAGACTGTTCTGAATACTCTAATTCCAATGCTTTTTCTATTTTTGAGACGTCAGCTCGTGACGGATTACTTTATATGGTCATCTGCTCCTGGAGCGCTACTGCAAGTATTTACATTACGTAGCCCACACTGCTACATGTAGCTACATGCTAATGTCGGGGAAACATGTAATCTTTTTCGCTAATGTTTTCTCCCTGATTTCAGATAACTTTCCAGCCTGGTTGTGTTTAGAAGCTTTTATTAGTCATTTTTTACAGTAAAAATGCCGATATACTCAGTTACATTCATTCCCCTGGAATGACAGTGCAGAGATACAGAAGACCTGAAAATGCTGACCAATCAGAGCAGACTGGGCTTTTTTGGATGGAGGGCAGGCACTAAAGTGTCTAAGGCAGAGGGTGAATATACATCTGTGGTTCCAGCACAGATGGTATGAGGACAATTAAGAGTGTTTTGAAAATTAAAACATGTATGCATGTTCTTGTAGAAACCCAAAATACAAGTATGAACCTGATAATGAGCCTATCGGGCCCCTTTAACGTTACTGCCATCTAACAAAAGATCCTTAAGCCCCCATTACTTTCTTTATTTTCTTTGGTCGATATCGGCCAGCGTTATATCCCTCATGTGCATCCCTAGTGTTTAACAAATAACATAATATACAAATATTGTCATGTCGAGCTCAGCGTGTTACAAAACAGATGAAAATTCATTATATACTACTGTATGTAACACATTGTTTTAATGGGAGGATAAAGAGTCCTAATGGCAGCTGCAATCATTATGTCTCATGAAACTAAGATTTATAATCTCTCTTTGTTTTATCACAAATTACAGAGAGCTGTTCTCAGTCAAGAGGATTTATTTTTCAGTCTTCTTTGAGTTCCAGCAAATGAATAATTACCTCAGTGAGTTTCCTGTCCCTTTCCATTAGATTAGTTTGGTAAATGGGCTCTAATCTCATCGTCAATAGGAAATGGTCTGGTCTATTTTAGAGTCACCGCGGCTACAATGCCGGACAGAAATGAGTCCTTGTTCATACAGGTTAGTGTGTGGAGTCTGGGCCTGACATGGTGTTTCCTCGAACACTGGACACAATTATGATAATTACACTCCACTGTAAGTGTGTGTGTGTGTGTGTGTGTGTGTGTGAGAGAGAGAGAGAGAGAGAGAGAGAGAGAGAGAGAGAGAGAGTCATGATTTGGCTGTGGTCCAGTATGGTGAAATTATATTCTGACATAACAAAGCCAGCTGATGAAAAAGGCTCGGGGCAGACGTTTATATAGAAACTGTTAGCAGTGTGTGTGAGAGAGAAGGAAACAGTGAGAGTCTCTGAGGTCGGGCCAGGTTTGTAAATTAGGGTTTGACCGCTATGAGTCATCAAGGCTGAAGTCGCCGCCAGAGGTTTTGTGATGTCAGCTACCAGACTGTCCAACGCTTTGGTCCAAAGCAAGATATATCTGGACATCCACGGCCATATTTACTTGAAGTGTGATAGTAATATTCACAGTCCAAACAGGATTAAGGCGACCTCCCTCACCCTGCATCTAGCACTACTGTCAAGCAAAATCTACATCTAAAAAAACTTCGGCATGTGAGGTTTCTTTTGCTTCAGTGACATTAACTAAAGATGTTCAGGCCTTCATGAATTTTTACAGATCTTTCCTCCAATATCACACTTTGTCTATACAGGATGTGTTTCAGCCACGTTTTTCCATCTCATGCCCAACAGATACAGTTTAATTTTAACCAACAGTGCTGTCTGCACTTGTAGGCTGTTTGATGGTACACACTGTATGCCTGTAACCCTGTCTATGTTCTTCCAACTTATGCTTTAAACACCTCTGAGTACACAGTCACATTCTGGCTGAACCCATCCTGTGCATGTTCAGAAAAACAGACCCTTTTTATTGTGGAGACACAGTGAGTTCCTTTTAGCGCCACTCTTGGGTCAAAAGTTCAAGTGTGCAAATGATTATAAAAATGTGGCCGGAAATGTATTGATGTTTCATAAAAGGCTGCAACCAAAGAGATAGTGATGACCTTCTGACCCGTCCTTTGTTGCCACGATTTAGTCCAAATTTCCCACTTGTGCTTAACAAATAAAAAAGATGTATTATTATCAACTTTCCCTGTATTCAGAAAATGAAATGGAAAGCCGGACACGGGATCAATGTTTTTACAAAGACCCTTCTTCAGGATTTCTACCAGTTTTAACAGAGATCAGCCAGATTTTCAATCTTACTATATAATGACGAAAACTCTGTCTGTGTGTCTGTTCCACGTTTTTCTCCTCACTGACTTGGTCAATCCATGTGAAATTTGGCACAGTGGTAGAGGATCATGGGAGGATGCGAATGAAGCAATATTACATCAATTGGCCAAAGGGGGGCGCTATAGCAACCGATTGAAATAGCAAACTTTGAAAGGGCATATCTCATGCCCCGTATGTCATAGAGACATGAAACTTTGCACAGAGACGCCTCTCATCATGAGGAACAAATCTGCCTATTTGACCAATATCTAAAGTTCCCTCTTGGCAAAAGTTGGAAAACTTACTAAAACTGAGCTTCTATAAGGCAATGAATATTGCGGAGGGCGTGGCTCATCACATAAAGGTGTATAACATCTCAAGGGTTTCACCGATCACCACGCAACTTTGTAGGCATATGACCACACATAATCTGAGGGGACCCCTCCATTATTGACCCCATCAAACAAAATGGGGGCGCTAGAGAGCTAATTTCTTATCTAGGCCTAACCGCCATATCAATTTTTACTAAACTTGGTAGATATGTAGAACAGGACGCCTCAAGGTGACTGGAGAAATTTAACTCTAATTGGCAACTGGGTGGCGCTATAACAACAGAAAAATGTCTAAAATGGGACCGATCGCTGTGGCTGCAATCATACTATCAAATTCACAAACACTCTGTCTGAATACATTGCTCTTCTTAATGGGTTCAGTTGACTATTTAATCTGCAATTTCCTATGACCTGTATCCCAAACACACACCATGTGAAACTGTACGTGGGCAACTGTGATTAAATGATTTTCAGCCAGATTTTACACATGGACACCCCTCACAAAATGCCTCCTGCTGGAAGAACACAATCTTCAATGCAAGTTACATTATTTGTCAAAAAATATATTTAAAATCAAATCTTTTTTCTTTAGGACCAGGGTATAAAACCCAACAAAACCAAACAGGTTTGTCTCATAAGCACAGTGAAGAAAATCCTCTCTTTAAGTAACTGAAAAACAAGGAACGGTCAATCAATTGTCAGTGCCCAAATTTTATTCTTGAGATTAAATTTCGGCTCAGATTTTTGTAATATTGATTTTTGGAAGTTTGATTGTAACTTTTTTTTTTCTCTAAATATTTATGGTTCCCAAAGGATTTTAACCCTAGTGATGGTGATGACTTTCGGACCTCCTGTGTTTCTACTAACACTCGTAATCTTCCACAGATTAGGTTTTTGGTTTTTTAAAGATTTTTACCAAAGACTATGTAAAAAATATTTTAAAGGAAGCCAATTGAACCTGATTCCGCAGTTTTCTTCTTTCTTTCTTTTTTTCAAAATAAATGCATATAAATGCACTTTTTCCATCACAATGAAACAAAAAAATGTTGAAACCCAAGAATCAATTCATAAATACTGAATGTAGGTGCAGAATATTTCCAAATTGTCAGTACTGGTAAAAAACCAAAACAGTAGGCCAATTAGAGGCCAACATTACTGTCTTTAAAAGACTGTGTTTTAACTTAGCATGAAGGTAGTGGTGTTTTGGGAAATAAGAAAACCCAAGGCATCCATTGGTACCAACCATTTCAGCATTACTTGTCGGAAAGGGGGCTCCAAAGTTACGCTAAATTTCGGCAAGGGAACAACTGGCATGGCCATTTTCACAGGAGTCCCTTGAACTCTCACCTGAATGAAAATGGGTTCTATGAGTACCCATGAGTCTCCCCTAAACTTGAGAAGGCTTGTTCCTTGTAAATGTTTTGTTGCAATGTTCTCCTTCAAATTAAAGCTGTATTTGCCATTTCAAAGAAAAGAACAACCAGCCAATGTGCAGAACAATGAATCACCTAACATGTATACATAACCCATTAAAACAGGATTA